ATCCAAATAGACCAGTCTAGTATTGAAAGCCATATTATGGTTCTGGGGTAAACCCATTTTAGGGAACCCTCCAATATGCCCTGAACGATGATCGGAGCATCCCAACTGAACAATGGTGTGCAAAGCTGACATATTCGGGCCTCCCCCTTGAAGTTCTTCGGAGACACCCCCTGGCTAATCTTAGACACCATGAATTCATATGTTTTTTTAGTACTGCTTTTCGGGGGGAGATTGTATCATATTGAATATTCCTCAAGAAAAGAAACGCATTCTCAACCCTTCACCAATCGGCTTCCCTGATGCCCAAGATCTTTGAACTCCCTTGAACATGAGGTAGACGCATAGCAACACCTCCCAGATGGGCGGCGGAATCACCATTTCCTATAGTTGTGAGAAACCATTGAGAAGATAGACTATGTCACTATGTCTAGCCACTCCAAAATCCTGATTGTTGATGTACTCACTCTTCATTCTTCAACCATTCAGTTTGGGAGGGAAATTAATGTGTGTCGTGAGGAGCCAAAAGGAGGGTGACTCTCAAAGAGATGCCATCAACCACAAGACGACCAATATGGTGGTATATTGATCCCCCGCTCGAGGGTTGAGTTTTAGTGAGGGTTATGTGGTAAATTCACGTGATCTCACGTAAATCCGCCTGAGGCCAAACCCCCAAAAAGACTCAAAAATTATGTGATCAGTGCATGGCTACTATAAATTCGTTCAGTCTTTATCTAACTTATATTCCGGCTTTGGTTTTCTTCGAATGATGGTCTCCAAAGCCTTCACATGTTTATATAAAGTAGCCCAATGCAGCATCACTACGTGAAGAACAACCATCGCTGTGAATAAACATGTCATACTGTTGCGACAAGAAACCTCTAATGTGGTAACCTGTGGGTTTACCCCAATGCCAATATAGAACTATAAACCCTCCCATTGACCATCCATTAGAGCTTCATTTTTAATCATCCAATTGCTATGGGGGTGGTTGCATTGGGTTTACCTCATCAATCACTTGGAACCCAGGTAGACTTCAGCCTTGTAGCCACATTCTGTGACGATCATCAGGCAGTACCTCGCAACACTCGCAACGCGCAAGACGCGCAAGCATGAGTGGAACCCAAAGCTGGCGCTGGTCGCAGGGTGTTCAAAGGTCTGGAAAACCTTATATAAATTCAAAAGAAAGGGATTTCTCTATCAAATTCTAGACCCACAAAAAAAACTCGCCCATGTTGTGCTCGTTTTCAGCAGCACAGGCTGTTCACAACTCTTCAACGCGGCGCGCTGTTTGTTCGCGCAGTCTTCTTTCGGATCAGCGAACCGGCGGAAACTGGAGCCTAAAGATGCACAACCCCAGAAGCATCCCCAAAATCTATGGTTCTGGGAGGAACACGGGCTGGTTGGTGGTTTGAACCCTACCCCTCTGAAAAATGATGGAGTTAAAGTCAGTTGGGATTATGAACTTCCCAATATATTATTCTTCCCAATATATGGAAAAATTAAAAAAAAAACATGTTCAAACCACCAACCAGCGGGGTGTAGCCCCCTTTACAAGTGCCAAAAGGCTCTGATTGGGACTTCTGGGACATCCTTGTGCTGCAAAGAGTTTCCAAGCACTGCTTCTCATCAGTCAACACCTTGGCCAGTGGACAACACTGGGCGGGTGGCAAAATTAACCCAACGATGGCCAAGGATGTCTCAGGTTTGTAAGGTTTGTAAAGGTTTATTCACCAACAACTATAGAATCTATATTCTATTGTGGCTGATTACCCATCTACCCTCTGGTAAACTAACATAGCTATGGAAAATCACCATTTTCAATGGGTAAATCCACTATAAATGGCCAACTATAGAATCTATATTCTTTTGTGGCTGATTACCCATCTACCCTCTGGTAAACTAACGCAACTATGGAAAATCACCATTTTTAATGGGAAAATCCAGTATAAATGGTCATTTTCAATAGCTATGTTAAATTACCAGAGGGTATATGGATTCATTGATGTTTTTTTTGTTTTAACCAATCATATTAAGCCACCAACAACCACAATTTTGTCATGCTTGATCATCAATCATTGGGGGATCACCGAACTGCAGAGACTTAGTTCCTGGCCGCTCCTCCAAATTTGGCGCCCCTGAGCCAAAGTCGGCCACATGTTCGCTTGGAGATCCTGTTCATCCCCTATTCCACCAAGATGTTTCTTTGAATTGATCGTAGCGATTCTGCTATTCCTATTGGGGCACGCTAAGATAGCATAACAAGGGCCACCCACCTATTCGTATGCCATCATTAAAAAAAAATGACATTCGCTTGATATGCCATCTTGCCGGGCGCAGTGAAGATGCCATCTATTCGTGATCCCCCATATATACATATATACTGATAATATTCCTCCGTTAAGTACGATGTCAACCCAGGAACCGCAATTTCATGGGAACCTTATAGAGTTTTTGGCATTTATGATGTAGGCTACCCTTCATGTTCACCCACCATATCTTTAAATCCCGATTTCACTTGCAAAGTGGGGATAAATCCGAGTTGGAAAACATCACTTCAATAACAATAAGTTGGCTTTAGATATGCCTTTATAAAATTTATAGCATCTGTGTAAATAAGTTGTTTTCACTGAAATCATGGCATTTGGGGATGATTCCCCTATAATCCTAACCATCATTCCAGTTGAGATCGCCATGAGGTCCTTATAATTTACCCAGATACTATTCATTTCATTTGGGTTATAGGTGGCAACCCCTTGAGCTCGAGATTAACCTCAACCCCTTGGCACTCGCCTCTTCGTTCAGCTGGTCGTTGAACTGACGGTACTTGGATTGCATGGTGGCCTCGGTTCGAATGTCGAAGAAATATTTTTCGATTCCACAGTCGGTTTTTAAGAGGTGGTTTCTAACCTATGATAGTAACATGTTATGCTATAAAAGGTGATTTCTAACCTAACATATGATTTCTAAGGGGAGTATTAAGCGCAACCTATGTGAATAAAAAAATCCTGTTGAAAATTGTTGAAACGAGTCAGCTTCACCTGGGAAGTAAAACGCTGGAATCTGTTGAAGTATAATATGAAACAATTGGGATTTCAATAACCATTGCAATGGGGAATGGAATACTTTTAATCAACAATATGATATGTTGGTGAGTCTGAAAAGAATGAATTTAACCCACAATATATGTCATATGTCAATTGGGAAAATTAGGTTTTGAAGCATGGGATTCATTTTGTTTTCATACCAACACATAAACAAAAGTAGCAACGATCAGGTCTTGAATAATATAATAATTATCATTAGAGTCCCACAAAAGATCATAACAGTATATAATTAAAAAGAACATGCGGGCCCCCCAAAGGAATAACATAGCATGAGTACAGTTATGGCCCTTTTCCAGTTATAAGTCAGTAAGTCACCCAATTTGAAGGAATGATAACCCTATTTATAACCATAAAAAATAAGTGGCAAAGGTAAAGGCTAGGGCTTTACCTGTAATTTACACATGATGAATCTTAGATACCTGCCAAACAATTTAAGCCTTTGCTGGTGAATGGACTAAATTTACCATTAGCAAGTACTATAGTTCGTATCTAACCAGTTCGTTGACCCAGTTGATAACCATTATTATAATTAAATCATATTAAATCAATTAAGATTGCTATGGTAATCTATGGCTCATTTAGTTCGATGGTTTACCAATGAAGAAAAATAATCATCGAACTGAATGGAATGATCATCAACCAATTTAGCCTGGTTGAAATTGACATTAATGGAATATAAATGGCTGAACAAATGGTTTCTTTCCAATAATCTTACAGTAACTCAGACCAGGCTTTACATCAAAGTCGCGGTGGAATCTTCGAAGTCTCGATCTCCGTTAAAGCCTGGAGTCGGCAAAAGGCCATCTGGTCGGGATCAAAAAGCATGGAACACTTGGTGCTTTTAGCATGACAAGTTGCTGGAAATAAGCGGGAACAAAATGGAATTGCTTTCATTTGGGTGTGCCTGAAATTGGGCCTTCTGCAGGAAGGCAATACACATCAGAATCCATTGGTTGTCTTGGGGTACTCCATTTTCAGACAAAGCAATATCGTTAGTAGTTACATAATGTTTGTACAAAAGCATCACTAAACCATCCAATTTGGGGGTCAATGATTTTGCGGATACAACCATCAAACGTCAAGCCTGAAGAAGAGGGAATGGTCGCTACAAGCTGCCTAGATCTTAAAGTTGTGCTTTTCATATCACTTCCATCCACGTTCCCACCCTTTTACAAACGAGCCATGCAAAATACTCCAATCCCATCCAAACATTATACTGGTTATATCTGGTTGGTCAATAGGTACGAGTATCCCTGTTGTTGATTGTAAGTAGTAAGAACCCCCCCCTTACAAATGTTTTCCCTCCATTTAGTTCAGGGATTTCGCAACTAGCAATGTTTGATCACCAAAGGGTATTAATGGGTAGTAGATCTCTGGAACTTCTCATCAGCCAACATAGGTTTTTGATAGACACTGCTCAGGCCCTGAAAAATACTCCTGTACGGCCAACCACTGAGAATTTCTTCAAGTATACCATCCCACTCAAATTACCATTTACCAACATTTTCATACATTTTCCATATTCAATTCATTGCAACAAATGAAGTTGTTGATTTGACATCAAACCAACACACTACTTCGGCTGGTAATTTAACGTAACTATGGAAAATCACCATTTTTTATGGGAAAACTCACTATTTCTATGGCCATTTTCAATAGCTATTTTGACATAACCAGAGCGGAACTTCGGCGCTTGACTTCGGCTGCCTGCGTTCTTACCTTTCAACTCAATCTCCTGTCGCGTCATGTCTACACCTCGGTGAGCGCTAGCGCGTCGGGCAACGGATGGGAGAACGAAGAAACAGTTAAATGGAGCTTTCTTAAGCAACGAAACATATGTATGTTTATAATTCCCGTAGGATCCATGGTGCTCGTATATATGCTAACATTTGGGGTATATTGATGGTAAATGTTACCATATATAGCATACATGGATCCTATGGGTGATATCTAAACATGTAAATATATATAGTATGTGTATAATTGTTAGCCTCCCAACATTTTTTTGCATTTACTGTATCATGTTCAAAAGTTTAAACATCAGGGTTTCGTGTATATATCGTCAATAAACATCTCATGTTGGGGAGGTTAACCACCATTAAAGTCGATCAAAATAGTATATGTTTAACATGTGTTTAACCGCTGCAAAATAGGAAAACAAACAACTAGGGGAAGTGTGTGATGAAAACCATGTCCATCCCAGCATATCATCTTCAGAAACTTCTGCGGATTTCTTGGGTCACCATGAAAAAAAATGTGAAACTTCCTTGGATTTCGTTGGTCTTGGAGTGTTTCTTTACATTAGCTGAACCGAACTGGCGTTGTAGACGAGTCTTGGATCTGCCAATCCAAAACAGCAACCACGGTTTTTCCCAAACGAACAGATCAGATCTTCCTGCATTGGTTTCATCATGTTGCATCCTGACTACTTTTTGTATTTTGTATCCACCCGTTCTTATGTCATCATCATTCAATACCCTCTGGTAAACTAACATAACTATAGAAAATCACCATTTTCAATGGGAAAATCCACTATAAATGGTCATTTTCAATAGCTATGTAACAAATTACCAGAGGGTAACCAAAACATCTACTGTACTTTTTTTTTCGTTTTGGAAACGACTGCCACCATTTTCAAAATAGGCCAAAATGCCAATGATCCTCACCAGCTTTCTGAAATGACTCTTAGCCCAGCCCCGTCCGAGACGCCACAGCAGCGCTCAAAAGAGGTCAACATGCGTTTGTTTCCCTTCTTGAAGCGATGTCCCACCTTTGGCTAAAAAAAGGAAGCTGAAGCTGAGGCGAACCGAATTCTGGTCAGATAAAAAATCACGGGATATAGAGAAACTTTCTTGTATCCATTTCACCAAAAAGATGATGCAGCCCTGGCAGCCAGCATTTGTTGAATCTAGCGTGCGTTGCTGGATGTAAGACCTTCACGGCAACAAATTTGCAAAGCTTGTGAAGCTTGTCCTTCAAAGTGATGTACGAGCAGGGTCCTTTCTTTTATAACCGGGTACCGCAAAAAGTTAGACTCTCCATTTAATTATGTAAACTACTCCAGTATATGGTCACTCCCAAATTGCAGCGAAGTCAATTGACATAAAATTTTGGCCGTGCCGTGCCAAGTCTACCCATTTTTCGATCGACCACTGGGTTCGAGGACTCGTCTGCCAACGTCCCAGGGGCTAGCTTCCTGTCGGGTTCAACCAATCCCGCAATCAACGCTTGTGCTCATCAACGGTTGTGCTGATCTTAGGTTTGCTCAAAGGGCTTCATTAAAAAAAACAAACATATTTCCTATAGATTCCCCAAATGGATTTCCTCTTGGGAGAATAAGAAAAACCAATCTTAAACTAACCCAGGTCGTGATCACAGTGGGTAAATTTCCGATAGGGTGATTCTTGGAAGGACACCCAGCGAGCTGGGGAGAGCATCTTTCATAGCTCTGATTCAGTGGCTGATTCAGTGGCCCAAGCAAGGAAAACTTACAAGTGAACCCCTTGAATCAACATGAACAGGATCTCCCATGCGAATTTGGAGTTGATGCTTTTGGTCTTACAAAACAACAAAGAACCTACAATGTGGGGCCCCCAAGATAGCTAAGTTGGTTTATAACTCCAATTTCACTATGGTTTATGGTACTTAGAACTATAGTTGTGGGGGTTTATAAACCAACTAACATCACTGGGGGGCCCCACATTGTATGAATGGAGGTTTTCTAGGAAAATCACCGAACCAACTCGGTCATTTTCCAGCAAGCCGATTCCCGGAGCTAGCAGCCTTGGGTCTGACAGTGCTCCAAAAGACTGGAGTTGGCACAGGCATCTCCAAAATCTCCTGGTGACCCCACTACCCTCTGGTGAACATACAAAAAGCTATTGAACATGACCATAGAAATAGTGGATTTTCCCATTAAAAATTGTGATTTTCAATTGCTATGTTAGTTTACCAGAGGGTAGTTCGCTTGGTGTTCTAATCTGTTTGGTGGTTGACCGTCAACCCCTCTGAAAAATATGACGAATCGTCAGTTGGGATGATGAAATTCCCAACTGAACGGAAAAATAATCCAAATGTTCCAAACCACCACTCAGTAATTCTGTGAAACAACAAAATCCTCAAGTTCGAACTTGGCACATCTTGCACCATGGCGCTGATTCTGCTACACAGGCCATGGATGTTCATTTTCTGCCGCTGGGGCAAAAGATTGGTTTCATGTTGTCATCAACATCTTCCAACCCTCTCTCAAGTTTCAAGCACATCAAAAAATGGCAAGGTTGTTTTTTGCCTTCGGTCATCAAACGTGATGGGGAATCCATTCAATCCCCAAAGTAAATGGATAGGTCATAGTCATAGGTTTATAGCTGGGAATATCATCTCCCTATGGATCCAAGTACCTTCCCAGGAAGTGTTTGGGGTATGATTTAGGGGGTTAAGTACCTTCTGAGACAGTGTTTGGATCCATAGGGTCTATACATGCAGTTTAAGCCCACTAAGTATGTTATAGGACCCCTAAGGGGTGGTCGATTTTTGACTTACGACCCAAAACCATATGCCAAGCCATGACTGGACCGAAAAACTCTGATTCGAACAATCCCAAGAAGCAGAATACAACACCTCATATATTCATACGGCTATTGGTCAAAACCCTGGCACCTAGTGAAGCCCAAAATAGCTGGTAAATGATGGTAAATGGATGCTCATCCCATTAGAATTGATAATAATAGGTTTTGACCCACCCTCATATCTTACCTGTTGAGTTTCTCGGAAAAAACCTGTTGTTGTTATATATTCTTTAAGGACATGTTTGATCTTTTGATGTTTAAAGATGAAAAAAAAGACTTACCCTCTGGTAATTTAACATAGCTATTGAACATGGCTATTTATAGTGGATTTACCCATTAAAAATGGTGATTTTCCATAGTTATGTGATAGTTTACCAGAGGGTAAATCACTGAGAGGGACACCCCCGCGCAATTCCTCATCCATGGGAGTCAGCTTGTTTTCCCAGGGATCCAAAAGTGCTTCTGCGCGAGCCTGGGGAGCTGGCCAGTAGCTCAAGATTTACCATGAAAATCAGATAGAAAAAGAAGGAAAAAAAAACTTGGGGCCATCCGAAACATGGAAATCCGGCAGATAGTGGCTGATTCATTGGGACGTGTTCTGATTTCGTCGATCTTAAGCATTCATGTTTCGATGAATTCCACACATAATGTGCTGGGTGGGTGGTTTTGCCGATCTTGAAAGGGGTTGGATCCACATCAAGTTGGATGGTGAACAACCTCCTGTTGAGGACAACCATGATGCGGCAGGGACTCGAGGGTGAAAGCATCCAACTGCTTCATACTTGGCGAAGTGACAGTGTAGGTTCCGAGATTCTTTACCTATACTGTTGTCCCTTAGCGGGTGAACAGTAAAATCGCTGGTGGTTTCAACCCCTCAAATATCGTGAGGAGAATCATCCCAATTTGCTGAACATCACCAACTCTGAAACCGACCAACTCAGCAATGTGCAAAAACATGCAAAAACATCATAGACTTGGTCCTGGTTAGCCAACTGAACATTTTTCAGCCACAAAAAGGGACACTCCATCTTTTGATAATTCGAACTCGATGGAGATATGGAGTGTCCCGAATGGAGTGTCCCACTTTGAACAAAATTTCAAGTCCCACCCTGTCCATCTCCGCTCTCCAAGGAGTCCGGCCTTTTGCTCGGCGAAGTGCTCCGGATTCGGACCCTGGTCCTGGCTTCAAACGGCCAAAGAACATGTGACACGAACGACATTTTTTGACGTACATGTGCTTCACCCTAGGAATGTTAAAAGTGGTTTGTGCCAAAATGTCCCAAATAACTGGACGAACCTATACAGGATGCTGCCCCCCAGTGATGTTTGTTGCTTTATAAACCATTAGAACCCCATGAATACTAATTAGTTCGTTATATCTACCATAAACATCCATAAACCATAGAATTCAGCCACATTTTTTCAGGCGTTTCTGAACGCTTGAACGCTCGACTGGCCCCATCCACGGCCCCATGACCCCCGGTCCCGGCAGTGCGGCTCTTGATGATTTCCGAAGAGGCGGCTTTGGGCCTGGCGACAGACTCGACCAACGAGCCAACGAGAAAAAAAAAAACAAAGACTCAACAGACGACCTGGCAATGGAATCCAACCTATCTCTATACATATATATCATATAATATAATATAATATAATATAATATGATATGATATGATATAATATAATATAATATGATATGATATAATATAATATAATATAATATAATATAATATAATATATAAAATATAGTATATAATATAAAATATACAATATAATATAATATATAATATATAATATATAATATATAATATATAATATACCATATAATATAATATATAATATATAATATATAATATACAATATAATATAATATAATATGATATGATATGGTATAATATAATATAATATAATATAATATATAAAATATAATATAATATAATATATTATAATATAATATGATATGATATAATATAATATAATATATAATATATCATATACAATATATAATATACAATATAATATAATATAATATAATATATTATAATATAATATATTATAATATAATATATTATAATATAATATGATATAATATGATATAACATAATATAACATAATATAATATAATACAATATAAAAACTAATATAATATAATATGGTATAACATAGTATAATATAATATAATATGATATGATATAACATAATATAATATAATATAAGATAATATAATAATATAATATAACATAACATAACGTAACATAATATAATATAATATAATATAATATATGTGATATTCAGACCCCGGTCCCTCAAAAGTTACAAGCCTAAAGAGACCCCTTCAAATGTTGGCGGAGTCCCCCTACACTGATTAGGATTGCATGATTCAAAATCACATCAAATCATGAGATGCATCATCTACGAATTGCTCCATTGCAATGTTGGAGAAGTCGGATTCAAGACGGTCACCCAAACATGCCATAGGTTTGGGTGGCTCAGGGGGTTGATTCTTGGTACTTGAGGTTCTAAGAAACCACTGGTCGAACTGGTAAAACCTTGTAGATCTCTGGATTCGTTGGATCGATCCCCAAACAGCTGCAAGTCCAACCCACTCAGCAACCCAGCGAGGGCTTCTTTCCGCTGCGCAGCCCGACCGTTGCGGAACGCGAAAGACCGAACCATGTGGCGATTCTTGGCCCCGACCCAGCCCAGCTAGCGACCTGCCATGCTCCACATCTCAGCAGTCACGAACGTATCTCCAGGTCCTCCGCGGTCACATCTTCACCGGGTCCAGGGACCCCCCTTGGTGCATGACAACGTCGCAAAGCCTCAAGGACTGGTCTCAAGCCCCAACCAGATGGGATGAGATGGAGCACAGTAGTGGGTTAAGCACTGGAATGGGCACATCATTGGGTATACCGAATCATTCCCTTGAGCTGTACAAGAATGAAAATGGAGTGAGAAAAAAAAACATCGGCCCAACTTGAGGCCGCCTCAGGTCACAAGAAGGTCGGCTTGAAATTTATGTTTTAGGATTGTTCAAGTGCTACTTGAAGACATGGCAGGGAAGGCCAGCATTTCTACTGCAGCTGGTTTCTGTACTAGTTCTCATTGGCCAGGCATTCTGTCACATGTGCGCTGCAAACCTGGTTGGAATCCACCATATCACATGGTCATCTTCGATAGTCCACAAAAAAAGTCATATCTTGCTGTTCTGGTTACCCTCTGGTAAACTAACATAGCTATTGAAAATGACCATTTATAGTGGATTTTCCCATTGAAAATTGTGATTTTCCATAGTTATGTTAGTTTACCAGAGGGTATTTTCCATTTATAGCCAAAAAACATCAAGACACTACAGCGGATTAACCCATGATTACCCCTCAATGATCACATGCTGTTGTGGTTTCAAGCCATCCGAAACATCGTGAAAGTCTCGTGGCTTTTTGGGGGGCTATCCAAAGGACACCATCAGCGTGGCATCCCAGCAACTCCGAGCTGCATTTCCGAGCTGATTTCACTCTCTGCACGAATCATTCTGGAACCGATGCCACCAAACATAGCTCCACACCTGAAACCAGGAGGCGAAGATGATTTCAGGCCCCCATCGAAGATTATATAGCTTATATAGCTTAAGATCATGCTTGGTCAGCAAAACCCCTATGTTACCCAATCAACAGGGGTACTTTTAATTGCTCGAGTGAGATGAATGATATCATTGAATCATGAACCGGCTGCGAAACGACTGGGCGATCAAAACAAATGAAATACACCTTGCGAAAAGGGGGTCGAACATGAGGTTTGAACCAACAATGATTACCCTCTGGTTATTTAACGTAGCTATGGATAATCACCATTTTTGATAATTATATAAATCATCATAAATCAGCTAATATCATAATGCATGAGCCATTTCCCATAAGTATGTTAATTTATGTTGAATAACCAGAGGGTAACTGGCCAGCAACCTGCTTGAAGGATAACAAACATACCCACTGATGATAAAGAAATTCCAACACCTATATACATAAGAGTGACCATTCCAACATCATACTTGAGACAATGGCAAATGCAAATGTTCTTCCCTTCTGAACGTACCATGATTTCTTTTCTCCCAACATAAACCATCACTTTTTCCAAGGTTCTCATCCCCAAAAAAGAACTGCCATGATCTACCACAAAAAAAACATCAAATCAGGTCAACATCGCTCAAATCAGATTTCAGACATGACAAATTTCATCAACACAAAAACACTCAGATTTGACAAGTCGACATTCGACATTGTTGATCATTGGTGAAAAGCAACATGATTGATGAAACGTCAGTATTATAAACCGACTCTTTTTACGAAAGGCAGTTGACAAAAAGACATGTTTTCCATCATGTTTTCATCACTGATCTCCGGGGGAAAAAAAACAAATTACTTTACTTCGTGTGATCTCCACCATGACATGTCAGGACGTATATATTCTGACATTCTATCTGACATATATTCTGGCATTCTATCTGAATTCTATCTGGCATTCTATCTAACATATATTCTGACATTTCATCTGGCATTCTACCTGGCATTTTACCTGACATATATTTTGACATATATTCTACCATTCTATCTGGCATTCTATCTGACATATATTCAGAGATTCTATCTGGCATTCTTTCTGGCATTCTATCTGGCATTCTATCTGGCATATATTCTGACATTCTACCTGGCATTGTATCTGACATTCTATCTCGCATTCTATCTGACATTCTATCTGGCATTGTATCTGACATTCTATCTGGCATTCTATCTGGCATTCTATCTGACATATATTTTGACATATATTCTGCCATTCTATCTGGCATTCTATCTGACATATATTCTGAGATTCTATCTGGCATTCTTTCTGGCATTCTATCTGGCATTCTATTCGTCGTGGTTGAGGTCTGGCAGGGAACACTGGGCGTGGATGGTCGCGGTTGAGGTCCGGCAGGGAACACTGGGCATGGATGGCCGCGGGTGAGGTCCGGCAGGGAACACTGGGCGTGGATGGTCGCGGTCGAGGTCCGGCAGGGAACACTGGGCGTGGATGATCGCGGTTGAGGTCCGGCAGAAAACACTGGGCGTGGATGGTCGCGGTTGAGGCCCGGCGGGGAACACTGGGCGTGGATGGTCGTGGTTGAGGTCCGAGGAGGAGACGAGGACGACAAGGACGACAAGGATGACAAGGAGGACGAGGAGGACGAGGAGGAGAGGAGGAGGAGGAGGACGAGGCAGGAGGAGGCAACTGACATAAAATCTAACAACCCTCACCTGGCAGGTGGGGAAAAAAACACAGAAAATCACAGTGAAATCCTCAAAATGTCTGACGAAATCATCACACAACAGTTAACATTCTCGGGGGCTGGCCTCGGCCGGCAAGCGCCACCAGAGTTCCTTCTGGCAGGACCCAAGCGGCCATGCTTTCGGGCCTTGGCTGGAAAAGACAGATGGCTTGGCTGAAAACCAAGGGTTTAACCGTTTAACCACCAAACATTGCTGAATTTCACCAGCAAAAATAGATGGATTGTATACCATTTATAACTGAATCTCAATCTTTTTATGTTAGCTAAGTTGGTTTGTAACATTTTATAACTACAATAACTGTTGGGCTTATCGTAATCCTAAATATACTTCTAGATGGAGTTATAAACCCAAAAAAAACTGAGGGGGGTTACAGTACCACTTTATGGTCGACCAAAAAGGGGTCAAAATAATCGGAATGACCCATACAATTATGGTAAACCATATATTTAAAAAAATGTATGGGTAAGCCATCCGTTTATTAAAAATATTCTGTCTTTGGCTATCCATAAAACTGATGGTAAACCATGGTAAACCATGGTAAACCACTGGAATTGGTAAAGTATGTTCAGACAGATAGTTATATAACGTGCAAACATGTGACTCTGTAATTTAATCAACAAGACATTGGAAATAGATAATGATCAAAGCAAGAACAGTAAAAACAACACTGGAGTACATAGCCAATAGATTGAATATCACTGGGGATACTGTTAACTATGAATTGTCTGAACGGCGGATGGGGATATGAAGAATGGGGTTCATGAATAGCCAATAGAAAAATAAAGGGGATGAAAAGAACATAGTTTTAAACAACAATAATGATGGGATGGTATATTCATGAACCACCAAGTACATTAAACACAAATCAGTGCACTTGGTGTACCAGCAAAAGATGCAAATATATGGAGGACAATTCATAAGACAACCTGCAAAAAAACACAGTGCAATTCAAACAAATTAAAGTTTAAAGGTGAACACACAGACACACAAAACTATCATTGAACGATGGCATAAGGGTAAACTCACAAAAACTGCAAGATATTCCCAAAGACTTGTAGACACCCATGGAGCGTCAATCCGACACCGGAAACCACACTTCTAAGAACCAAGATTGCAAGAGCTAAATTAAAGAACTAACATTGTGCACAAAATCTACTGGCTGAGTTATAATAACTCACAGAGCTGAAAATAGCTGTTATCATACAGACATTTGGGGATGATTCCCCTATACATTCACCATCATTCCAGTGACGTCACGACGTGAGGTCATTATAATTCATCCAGATGTAAGATGGCCAACTTATAGTCACCATCATGCTTGGTTAACATTCCCACTTTCTTGTTTCTAGATTAACTTATTAACATCCCTTTTGTGGAAAAGTCCAACTTCAAATAGATATTTTGGATGATTTCTGGTAGGATCATGTATAATAAGATTATAAACAATAGAACAACACTTAAATATATGTGTTCATCATTCTCCCAACCAAATCCAACGTCCAAAACAAACGGATCAAACTGAGGCGCAAACTCAGTACAGCTAGCAATGCGTTCAGCCTTCAACTCCAAAGCCTTGAATGCTCGAGGCTTGGCCAGCAAAACACATGCAGGAGTAGATAGTTCAAGAGAATCCTTGCTAAAATGGAAATAGGTGTGAATTTTCCATATTGCATCTACTTCAGGATAAGTGTATATATATATTATCATTATCATTATTGTTAATTATCATTTTTAAAAATATTGTTATCATTATCTGAAATTATAATTTGAAATAACAATAGATTTGAACATTCCATATTCTGTTTACTTCATAGTGTATATATATAATATACGTATACAGTATACATATTGTTATATATGTCCCTGACCTGCCAATTACCTATCAGATAGGCAAGCCTAGCAAAATGAGGTAAAATCAAGCTGGTTACCTATCTCAGAGGTTTCCTGGAAGGTTAGATTCCCATGAAACCAGGGATACCCCAACATACCAGAAAAATCACCCAGGGATACCGATGCTACCTTGGGTTTAGCAAAAGAGCTGGTTGTGGATGTCAACGGATGTGAATAAATTTCCCGAACTATAGACTGATAGCTACTGTAGCCTATGTTTCTGAAAGGAAATATAGGCGACTTGGCATGATCATGTTTGAGTACTCAAAAGCTGTACCCCAGCTGTTTACATAGCAAACATGTTGTCAGAATTTGGGGGTTTGAGCAACTCCCATTAACAACCTGTTGACCGGCCCATTTTGGGTTTGTTCTCCAAGGCTGAAATCAAGGAGCCATCATAGGTATATGTAATACTGGGGGTGTTCACAGCAAAACGATGCACGGAAATTACAGTGACCAGCTGCCCTATCCTCTTGTCCTATTCAAAAAGACTTACTGGTGCTTAACGCAGGGAATGAGGGAATGATCCATTTCATCACTAGTAATAATCATCCCAGCAATCCCCAGCAACCCATCCATTCCCTACGTAAAACGCACCAGTAAGAAGAACTGCCCGCTGCCCCTCCAATCTGGATCCACACAGTCCATCGCGTCTTATGCTCGTCTACAAGAAGTTCCGGGTGCAGACAGTACTTGGGAGTGCAGTTGGGACTATGAATTCTTCTCATATATTATGGAAAGATCCACCAGTTTGAATGGGAAAACTCACTATTTCGACTGGGCCATGTTCAATAGCAAACTGTAACAAATTACCAGAGGGTATATATATATATATTCTTCTGAGGATATTCTCGATAAGTTGGGATATGATTGTAACCCCCTATATAACTATGGTTGATTTTATTCTGGTTGCTACCCCCAGATCGTGAAAATCTAAAATGGCACCCTAATTAAATAGCCGAGGGGTTAATCTAGGGTTGACACTGTGTATTTGGTACCTGCACCCTTACTAGTATTGCGCCCTTTGGTAAAAAAAAAAAACATAATAAGAAGTGTTGGAACCCCTTCAGAATATGGTAATACTTGGGAGCAAATAAATTCACTTTCTATCACTCTTCTGAATTGTAATAATTCACTAACCTGAAAATAGCTGTTATCATCCAGCCATTTGTCACCATCATTCCAGTGACGTAAAGACGTGAGGTCATTACAGTCAAAAGAAATATAATATGCCATTTGAAGTTGGCTTAGATATCCCATTATATTATAATTTGTATCCCACTAATGTTCCACTATCAATCCGGTTCATATCCATTTATATCTTACTTATAGCAACAGTCATAAAAGATGCCGAAAAGCACAGCATCACTATTTTCGCAGGGTTTTACTTTTTCTATATTTTTGTGGATTACGTGGATTACAGTTGGAGTCTAACTTACAATTTCCAGATTGTTCGGTTGGATATGCCATTCTACCATATTCTATCCCATTTTATCCCAGTCATGTTCCATTCTCAATCCCACTTTTTTGTGTAGCTCATACTCACTTATTACTGGTTGGTGGTTTCAATTCCTCTGAAAAATATGAAAGTCAGTTGGGGTTATTATTCCCAATATATCGAAAGTCATAAAATTCATGTTCCAAACCACCAACCAGGATATAAATGAAGGTTCCACTATGGTAAATCCACTATGGTTAATCCACTATTGTTAATCCACTAATGTTCCAAAACACCAACCAGTCACTTATTATATCCACTACCCCCTAAGTGGCCCTCAAGGACCTCAGGGTTCCCCCTGCGCCTGCTCTTCCAGCTCCACCCGCCACAGCCGCAGCCGCCGGTCCAGGCCCAAACTCAGCGCGCTGTCGGCGGCGGTCCAGGCGACGCTGCGCACGGCGGAGAAATGCGCGGACTGGTGGCGGACAGCGGTCCGCAGGGGGCCATGGTGGGGCCCCCGTGCTACATCGCTTTACCATGGGAAAATGGTGATTGAACCACTAAAAATGGTGATTAATGGGATTTAGAGCTGATTCATGATGGCTATAAGTTGTTTTATAACTATAACTGTTGGGTTTATGGTATATCGACCGAGTTAGATGGGGTTATAAGTTATAAACCAATTTATAACTAAGGGGCCCCACTAAGTGGGTTGATTCATGGAGGTTATATCCCCAAAGATCAATGGATATGTACATAATGCTATGGAATGGGTTACTATAATCCACGTACCAACCAGTTAACTCCATGGACCATGGTCCAAAAATTGGGCATTCCGTAATTCCGTGATGGAAATTCAAAGGTTAGGGTTTGTTTCAAGAGTTGTAAAGTGGCAGAACTGGAAGTTTCGATGTTGACCTGATATGGACCCAGGTAGCGGATGGTAGCGGTAGTTTTTCAGGGAAGTTGTTCATGAACTAGGGTTCCGACCTGCCCAACTAACTTACATCATAATAATCAACAGCTATATAGATGATCATTCTGACCTTTTGTAAAACCTACCATCTGATTATTCAACATAGCCATGGCAAATCGCCATGCTATTAATAGGTAAACCATCTATTTCTATGGGCCATCTATACTATGGCTATGTAACAAATAACCAGAGGGTAGGGAAAACCTATGGAAAACCTCATCATGCACCGCCTCCACTGCATCCCTGGCGCCTCTATCAATCTGCTTCCAATCAACCGCACGGCATCATCCTGGCCCCCCTTTTGGTGATGGTCAACTATAGTTGGAATGCCCGTAAATAGCCATAAATCATATGGTTCCCCCTACAATGTGGCCCCCCCCCAGTGATGTTAGTTGGTTTATAACCCCCAGTAACTATAGTTATAAGTACCATAAACCATAGTTATTGGAGCATATTGGAGCTATAAACCAACTTAGCTATCTAGGGGGCCTCACATTGTATGGTTCCCCTAGTTACAAACCAACCTCATCTAACGAACTGGGGCCCCAGCGAATGTATGGATCCAAGTATCAAGACAGTACCTTCTGCCTGTCCCGTTCAAAGGTTGTACTCTGAGTGCGGGTGAAAAGCCCATGAAACACCAAACTGCCCTACATAGTCTCCAATCTGGAACCAGGTACAAGGGCAAACAGAGATCAGCATCCTTGGCAGAGTTGATGATGGAAATTCCAACAAAAAAGCATTCGGATCATCCTTGGCTTGGTCGGCTGCCGATGATTTTCCTACTGAAAATGGCCATCTTTCCACCTTCGCTGTGTCCCAGGACCCCTTCCTCCAAGGCATAGATGCAGAGTCCGAGGCCATGGTCATCCCCTGCAGTCAGTGCCGCCACGCGGGACCCATCCAGCTGCAGAAGCGCCAAATCGTTAACGCCCGCCTCAGGATTTAGGACCATCATCCCCAAATTATTGTTTGAACATCGGTACATAATATGGACATGGAACCAGAACCGAGCATTTTTTGGGTACAGAACTCCGACAACTAACCATACCCAGGTGCTCCATGGTGCTGGTATATTTAGCAACATTTGCCCGAACAAAATCACCCAGTTTTGTAGGTAAATATACCAGCACCATGGATCATATGGGATACATAAACCGAATTAGGTACACAACCCATCTGTGACGGCTACGAGCCCAGCGACTTGATGCACTTGGAGCTCCTCGCAGAGTGGCTTCAGGTTTTGCAGCTGCAGCGCAGCCAGCGTTCCAGCGGCGGAGCCCACGTAGACGCCCCGGAAATTGGGGGCAGTGAAGCACTCCTTTGGTTTAGACAGCTGGTGTGGTACAAACCCAGATGTCACCAAGACTTCAACATTCAAAAATTCATGGGTGGCTTATGACCCACCACTTGACGAACTAACCATGGCCCAAAGAACCTAAGTGGTATACTATAATTGTGGGGCCCCCCAGTTATAAAGTGGTTTATAAACCCCATTAACTATTATAGTTATAAGTATCATAAACCATTGTTATTGGAGTTATAAACCAACTTAGCTATCGTTTGGGGGCCCCACTTTTGTATAATTATGGGGCCACTCAAACCCACCAACGCATCAAAGAGTCCATGCAGAGAGCCGTGGTGTTGAAGACCTGAAATCTCTCCAGAAAAGTCACCTCCGCCTTCCCCTGCTGCGGAAAGATCTGCAGCTGCCAGGTGCGTAGGAAACCGCTGGACGAGGCGCACGCAAGGAGGACATCGTGGTGGGCCTGGCGATATCACAGCTGATCAATGCATTGGTTGAAGTTCTTTCCAAGGGAAACCAAGGTTTCTACATCCAAAATTGGGGTAAATTTCCGCTCAACCAATTGGGGTGAACTTTAAAGATAATAGTGAGAACTACGTTCACCAGCCATGATCCGAGATGGACGTTTGCCGTGAATATATTTGGGATCTATGCATCGATAAAAAATATCATAAGTGTGTAGTCAGTTGAACTCTGTCCTTCAAGTGGGAAAGATCTGCAAGAAACAAAAAGGTTTGCTGAAAGCGCACAAAAAGGTTCTGTTGCTTGTTCAAAGGCAGGTTACCCCTCTAACTAATCAACTGATATTGGATATCGGTTTCAGGGCCAACTTTCTGGTAGATACCCTGCATTGGGGATCTGGAAAGATTTACTTAACTCCGAGGCATCCAGATGTCCAGATATCAGCCATATCCCTATCCCATAGGATCCATGTATGGTATATTTACCTACATTTGGGTCATTTATGGGGTAAATGTTGGTAAATATTCCATACATGGATCCTATGGGTATCCAATTCCCATTACCCTCCGTCATCAAACATGGAAATCCAGCAGCATTCGAAAATGTCCTGCCTCGCTCCTCTCCAGCTCCACGCAGCTCAGCGCCATGACCCGCTCCTCCAGGCGCCCCGCCGTTGACGCGCGCGGCTCGGCTTCGCCGTCGGCGTCGCTGTCGGCTTCGCCGGGCTCGGAGTCGGAGGTGGAGTCCGCTTCCCTGGGATGTGGGGAATTGACATGAATTTTACCCTGGTAAACATACAAAAAACTATTGAAAATGGCCATTTATAGTTGATTTACATTGATTTACCCATTAAAAATGGTGGTTTTCCATAGTTATGTTAGTTTACCAGAGGGTATGGCTTAATTAACATATCTATGGAAAATGGATGACAACGGCTGATTTATGAATCATATCACTTTATGAGTCAACTAACCATTAAAAACACCAATATTAATATAGCAAAAATAGCTGATTTAGTTCAATGATTTATATACCAATAAAAACGTGGTGAATTCCAATAGTGTTAGTAAAGCAATGTCAGAAACCAGCCATATGGATTGATGGATACTGATGGTTTGTTTCAAAAATAAGATGGAAAAACATCTGGGATGGTGGATCATATATCGCTTTGCTAACATTAGTCAAAGAACTTTGGGGATCGTTGTAACATGGCTGGGCCATGATCATATCAGATTGCATCACACAAAAATACACAGAATGCTGATTTGATCAACAATGGTCGTGATTTTATACTCTCCGAAGAATTTTCACGAGAAATATCTTTCTTGTCGTCTTTTTTGGTTCAATCTGTATAATCTGTTTCAAGGATGACAAAATTTCAAGAGTGACACATCTGGTTGCAACAAAACAGAAGCCCACTTTCTGGAGCCCTGGAAAAATTCCGCCAATTCCGCCCACCTTCCAATCAGCTTCCGCCAAGCATCTCCACCTTTACCGGATCCACCTGCCCTAGCGACGTGCACCAAACGCCCAGCAGCGCATCACCCGAGACCAGGTGGGCTTTCAGGGCGCCCTTGGCGCCGCCCGAGACCAGCAGCCCCGGTCTCGGCAGCGTCATGGGCTCGGTGGTGGCATAGCCGCGGGTGCCGGGCACAGTGGGGTGGAGGGGGAGACTGCCTTGGTAGAACGTGGAGGCTGTTAATAGCAGAAATTTGGGACTTTGATTCAAGGAAATTTGAGGATGAGGATGATGATGATGATGATGATGATGAAGATGATGAAGATGATGATGATGATGATGATGATGATTGTGGGGGTTGTTGGTTGAATCCACCCTAGAGTTGGTTTGCTCTCCGTATCCTCATATTCCTTGAGCAGATCTTCCCCGGCGCTTCACAGCCCAGCAACATAAGGCTCTCACCGCGCCGGGGAAGCGCACGGTCGCCGCGGCGGGGGACAAGGCCGTGCAGGGCTTCGTGTCCGTTGTGTCCGTTGTACCTGGCCAATGTGGGGCCCCCCAGTGATGTTTGCTGGTTTATAAAGCCCAGTAACTATATATAGTTATAAGTACCATAAACCATAGTTACAAGACCCACTTTGTACAATATTGCCAGTAAATATCTATACTTAGTGCTCATTCTTGGGATATATCTATAATCATTAGTATCTTATAGCTATAGTAAATATCTAACCAATCAACCTCTAAATATCTGTATGGAGGTTTCCTAAGTCATAGAGGGTACCCCAAATCATCCAAGTCATGGATGACCATCACTTAGCATTGAAACCCATGGTGACTTGGGGATCCCCCATTTTAGGAAACCCCTATATATTTGAACATACTACCACCCACTACCCACTGATTGGATACTTCTCAAGTCCAACAGTCCCATGTTTGGTACGTTTCACGATTGAAATCCCAATTCTCGTTTGATCTTGACGGTTGTTTGATGCTCAAAATTGCAGTGTTTGGGGATAGTCATTATCTACACGTATTTGCATCGCGGTGAGAAGGCCCCTTGAAAATTCCCTTTCAACATGAAGGATGAACAATCCATGGCGGTGCCATGGTCATCCATCCCGTGCCATTGAAATCCAATCATGTTGATATATATATATATATATATATATACATATACATATATATATATACATATATCATATACATATATATATACATACTATATACGTGTATAATAATCTGGTTGGTGGTTTGAACCCTACCCCTCTGAAAAATGATGGAGTTAAAGTCAGTTGGGATTATGACATTCCCAACTGAATGGAAAAATAAAAAATGTTCCAAACCACCAACCAGTATATATATATATATGTTCATGTAATATGATGTAATGGCTATTTGAATACATATTGAAAAAATGGTTACTAAATCCCAAGAACTGTGTAATTCCCGTCCAACTAACTTGACCATCGCTCATACATTCTCATACTAATATGGCCAATCTTGGAACCCCTAGACCCTACACAGAAAATTAGATGTTTCATGATGTTTGGCAGGTAAGTTGATGCTATGCAATATACAGTTGCAGGTTCAATTTTAGGTTCATGGCACATCTCGAAAGATGAGTCAAAACCCTGGTACTGTGCCATATATAACCATATTGATTGGTATATATAACCATATATAACCTTATATAACCATATATAACCATATATAACCATATATAACCATATATAACCATATATAACCATATATAACCATATATAACCATATATAAGCATATATACCCATATATAACCATATATAACATCAAAATAGCGGTATATAATCCAACTTCGCAATGGAACATTGCCAATCCATGGATGATTTATTTTCATCTACAGTATCAACCTCCATTCAGATGTCGCGTGTGCGATAGCTAAGTTGATCTACATAACTTGGAAAATACGTTTGGGTTGATTTGGAGGATATAACTACAGCATTCATGGGGTTATAGCTATACTTCATGGGTTATAAACCATAACAACTAGTTCAATAGATCTACCAGAAACCCTAGTTTTTATGGGATTATAACCAACAAAATTATCTATATATATATTTATATATACATACTATATACAGTCTGGTTGGTGGTTTCAACCCCTCTGAAAAAAAAAATATTAGTCAATGGGAAGGATGACATCCCGTATCCATTTCATGGAAAATCATCCAGCCATGTTTGAAACCACCAACCAGCAGTATGTTCATACGATTTCATACGTACCATCTGGTTATTTAACGTAGCTATGGGAAATCACCATGTTTAAGAACGGTAAATCCTCATGTTTATCCTCATAAATCATCTATTTCTATGGGCCATGGCTTCCATAGCTACGTTGAATCACCAAAGGCTATATCGAACTAATTGATGGTGCTTAAAAACCAACTAACATCATTTGGCGGCCTGACACGTTGAGCACTCGGAGGCTCGTGTCCTCGGAGGCCGTGGCCAAGCTGCCCGGAGCTCCGGCGCCGCCGGGCGCCTGGGTTTTTGTTGGGGCATGGCGAGCCATTTTTGTTGTGAAAACTGGGAGAAAAACCAGGTGAGCCGGATGAGTTGGGATGATTTTGTTCATGATTTTGGCCATATTCCATATGCTTATTGATTTTTAATCAAGATATCAAGATATCAAGGAATAGAATGATATATTATGATATATTCTTAGATGTCATGGATAGAATGATAGGATTTCAACAAGCATGAAGGTTGTTAACTTTTAACCAGACAATTTTTGGGATATGACTCGACCCAAGTAGCTGCAGAGCCCTTCGCTGTTTGGGAGCCAATGGAAAAATGCTTGGGAGGTCGCTTGATGAGAAGAGCCAGGGGTGTCTGATACACTGCTACGGCTACATAAACTTTTTTTTCGAGAAAAAGATATCCTGTAAAATGATGTAATTCTGGCTGAATTACAACTGGTTGGTGGTATACCTACCCCTCTGAAAAATATGAGTTCGTCAGTTGGGATTATGAAATTCCCATATATTATGGAAAATAAAATTCATGTTCCCCACCACCAACCAGTATAATATTTTCCAAACCTGAAAATAGCTGTTTTCACTTCTCGCCCATTTGGCGCTGATTCCTCCCGAATCCATTTTTCATGTCATCATTCCTGTGACGAAAAGCACCTTTTTAGGTCATGGTATTTTTCATCCAGATGTACCCTCTCTGGTAACCAAACATGGCAATGGAAAATTCCCCATTTATGAACAATACATGCTTTGCTGTTCTACCATGAAAAACCTCCATCCCTTTATAGGGGATTCCCATTGCCACTTTGATTTCCAAAGGGAATATGAAGTCCTGCATTTATGGCAACAAAAAGAACCCCTCAACCTAGCATTCAGAGCTCGCTACCTTGTGCACTAAGATCTTTCAGCTGAAGCGGAAACTGTATGGAACATCGACCGCCGATGGGCTTCTCCTCACAGGGCATCCTCCCAAGTTGTCAATTGGTTACCACCAACTATTGTCTATATAATATATATAATTATATATATATTATAATAATAATAATAAGAAGAAGAAGAACAATAACAATAATAATAATAATATGTGTATATATATGTATGTATATATGTATATATATATATACATATATATATACATATGTATATGTATATATATACATATATATATATATGTATATATGTATATATATAATATATCCCCCATATAAATCCAACAGTTCGCCTAAAGGAGACCAGTGATTGGTCCAGGCACTCGGAGCCAACAGATCTGGTGGATCTCCCTGCCGTGCAACGCGCGCCGCAGGGCCCTTGGCACCGTCGACGACGACGTCGACGTCGACGCCGTGGAGTGGATCTCCAGGGATTTGGAGGACGAGAAGGCGAAGGTGAAAGATCGGCCGTCCTCGGATTGCAACTCGAAATTTTCACCATCCGTTTTTAAACACTGAAGTTACGTGGATTTTGAGTGTGAAGAGTCTTTTTAGATGTTATAAGTTGATTTTAAAGCTAACATAATAGTTGCTGATTCATTATGATTCATTCACAAAATGTGGATATGCAACTGATCCATCTGGCTATGGCTACCCAAAACTAAATGGGGACATGTACAGTTCTCAGTTCTCATGTGAAAATGTTGCAATTCTCATGATGTCTACTAAACTCAGCAGAAATCCAAGAATTGCACCTCTGACTACCAAGTAGGAATGCCCCCAACTATCGCTTTCAATCATTACCTCACCTCTAGAAACCAAGCTGCTTGGTGGTTTCAACCCATCCCAACAGTTCTTTAATCAATTGGGAGACATTGTGATCATCATCATTCCAAGAAAAATGTGGTTTAAGTAAAAGAAAAAATGAAACCACCAATCAACAACAATATAGAACATGAAGAACCAGTAGGAACCATTAATAAAAACTTGGATTGCAGTTTATATTGCTATATAACATATATATCCCACTATATCTCCATAAAACGCTTGGCTCAACCCCCATTTATTGTTGTTCAAATCCCCTAAGCTACAGTATATCCCATGATATCCCATGCCACTAAATTTTCTTGCTTCAACACGGCTCAACCACTGAAAAACCACCGGTTTTTGGTCCATTTGTTGCTGGTTCAACCGCCCCTGGTTGGTTGACCTACCCCTCTGAAAAATGATTGAGTTAGTTAAAGTCAGTTGGGATGATGAAATTCCCATTCCCAACTGAATGGAAAGTCATAATTTCACGTTCCAGTCACCACCAACCAGTGTGTGTATATATATATATATATATGTTCATATAATCATATAATATGATTTTTCATGGCTATGTGAATCCATATATATATATACATCCATATTATATTATATATAATATATATGTGAACATATTTCCACATTTCCATATTGAAAATATATAGATTGGTTGAATCGAAACCACCGTTTGTTCCAAATGTTCCTTAAATGTTCCAAGGCTCCACTGGATCCAGCACCAAACTATTCGGCCGTTTGGCGCCCCCACAGCGATGTCGCCAGACCTGCCGGGTAGTCCGAAAAAAACCACAACCGTTGGCCGAAAAAACTCATGGGAAACCTGCGGAAAAAAAAAACAATTTGGCACTGTTGGTAAACTTTAGAGAGGTTGATTCCTTCAGACCTTTTTTCGACGTGTTTTTTTCCTCGTTTTGTGGTACCTCTCCCAAGTTTCCGCAGGTTATGTGAAAAAACATCCGAAACAAATCACCAACTCCACCTCCAAACCCGCCAAGGAGTCCCAGAGAACGAAATCAGCGCTTTGAAAGGCTCCCAGGAACCTTTCAGATGCGAGAGAAAACGTGTTTACTAGATTGGTCCCTCCGATTTAAACGCGGGTTGATCAAGGAGGTACCCCAGGTCGGGTCCACGCTAAGTTGCTTCGTAACTCCAATAACTTTTGGGTTTATGGATGTTTATGGTAGATGTAGATATGAATCCAACACAATCCAACTATACTTACAATGTGGCCCCCCCATTTATAAGTTGGTTTAGATTCGCCCCAGTAACTATAGTTGTAAGTACCATAAACCATAGTGAAATTGGAGTTATGTTCACCAACTTAGCTATCGTAAACGGGGGCCTCCCAACTATACTTACATCACTGTGGATTATGTTGGATTCATATCTACATCTACCATAAACATCCATAAACCCAAAAGTGATGTTTTTATGGGATATGCTGAACCAACATCACTGTGCACCATCCCACAACCCAGGGCTCCAGGGAACAATGGCGGCATCCCGTCCCCCTCCGCAGCCGGCTGCAGCTGGACATGCGACAGATGTCGCAGGCCGCAGCCAGGGCGATACACGGCCAGCTGGGTCCAGCGGAAGTCGCGACCGGAGCCTGCAGAGCCTGCGGAGCCTGCGGAGCCTGTACTGCCTGGCTCCTGGGCTGGAAATTCCAGAGATTTGGAGACATATGTGGGAAATCATAGGAAACTGTCATAAGAATTCATAAGATTTAACGATGATTCGAATTTATGACTGTAAGTCCATCATAGAATTTCATATGATTTAATGATGTGTGGAAATTAGATGGATCCACGTCTCAATGATAAATAGAATCGCGATCCAGCTATAAGAAGTCCCCACTAGATTTTTATTCTATGGTGATTGGATTTGTACTCTTACCCGACGAAAAATCCATGTTTCTGTTCCTTAGATTCGAGGTGCTGAGGTGTAGTGTCAATGAGTCAATTTCTGCTGGCGAAATCGCAAAAAAAAATGGGTAAACTGATGTAAACTGGCTATTTTCTGGGCCATTTCATGTGTCACAAAGGACTATAGCATTGAAATTCAAGGCTCCAAGTGATGTCGCAGCACTACACCATCTGCTCCGGCAGAGAGAAACTCGAGACCTGGAGCAAGATGGGATGGGGGCAATGTGGAGTGGTAGTCCATGTGGGTTCAACGGTTCAACTCATCATTTGCCAGCAAGCTATATCTTATCCATATCATATAATCTATACATATCCATATCAAAAACAACATTAAAGTCCACCAAGATTGAAATCTGGTCTCTGTATGTCTCTGTATGATACACTCCGGTGTCATCAAACATGGCCGGAAAATCCCTTAAATCGATCTAGTGGAGAACTTTCGATGGGAAAATCTACAATGTGAGGCCCCCAAGATAGCTAAGTTGGTTTATAACTCCAATAACTATGGTTTATGGTAGTTATAACTATAGTTAATGGGGTTTATAAACCAACTTATAACTGGGGGGCCCCACATTGTATAAATGGAGAATTTTCCAGCACGCCATGTTTGATGACACCGCATATCTTCTCCGGACGCGTTTCTCCCGGTGCAACCCAAAGACTTTCTGTCGTCCCACGTCCGCCACGGAGCCGCAACAAACTCAGGACCTTTCCCTCGTGCGCTGCATTCTGTTGGTAGTCCTGAACCAAGATGCAGAGGTGGTTACCCAGGTCATCCAATGATCCCCTTGGTGATAAACGATCTCATTTCACCACCCTCCAAACATGGCGTGCTGGAAAATCCACGATGGTTTTCCCACTACTTCCATGTGTCTCCGTTTATACGGCATTTTCCAGCACGCCACCATTGATTGCGCGAGGGCATCCTGATTTTACTACACCACTCATGCGTCACCCGTTCGCATCTTGATTCAAGTCGGGCAACAAAAATACTACCCTCTGGATAAACTAACATAGCCATGGAAAATCATCACATATTGCGATTTAATGTATTCTAATTCGCAAGTAAATGGCAATGTTCTATAGCTGCGTCAAATATTGTTAAATTGCCAGAGGGTAGACTACCAAGCAGTCACTATAATTCAATATAATTCATGATCTAACATATCTCAGCACAATGGATGGTGTCAAAATCCACTTGTTCCTTGCAATATCTGAACCCCAAAATCCACACCTGCAGATTCACCAAATGCAGGCGACCTAAGATCAAGCTGCCGGCAGATTTCATCAGCTGGTCATCACTTCAATGTTCAACGGTAATTTCAACACTACCGGCACGGTGCCGGGTCCAAAAAAGTGTTTAAAGCCGCCCCGCCCGGCACCCCAGGCCCATCAATCAATGGATTGGTTTAATGGAAACTCTATTACGGGAAACCATGTTTTTTACCATCAAATCTAGTTGCAACATTTCCATACATTTCCTGTATACACCATTTTTTGGAATCAAGCCATGTTCGAGGAACTATCAATCACTACAAAAGTCAACCACTACGCCAAGTGACCAACAGTATCACGAGAGCCGGGTCCCCAAAGGGGTCAAGCGCATGATTATGTGATCCTTGTCTTGCGAAACCTGTTCCGAAGTCTACTCAAATGAACCATGAAGGTTGAAAATGGCCAAGAAATGGAGGTGTCCTAAAATAGGGGTACCCCTGGATCATCCATTTTAATGGAATTGTCCATGAAAAACCATCCAGCTATTGGGGTACCTGCCCCACTTCCAAGCGATTTGAAACTTCGAGATCGCATCCTAATCATCCCAGCCCAGCGACCATGTTCATCGCCCAAAAGCCACAAAGGATCAGACGAAAGGAGCAAGCCACTCCTGGGGCGTTTCATTTTTGGGACACCGTTTACGGGATTTTTGGGTATGGGTCAATACCTATAGATACATTTTTAGTGGGTTATTCACATCCATAAATCCCAGCTATGACTTGGGGTGAACAAAAGGTGCCAGGGTTTTGACCAATAGCCATATGGCCAGAGTTGGTGAAATCGCCGTGACTCTTCCGTGTTTTAAAAAACCGAAGAACATCGAGTTCAACAGGATCCCAACGGGATGGACAAGAATGGGGGCTGTTTCCCTTGGAAACTTGCACCCTCTGGTAAATTGTTACATATAGCTATTGAAAATGACCATAGAAATAGTGGATTTACAATGATTTACATGGATTTACCCATGAAAAATGGTGATTTTCCATAGTTACGTTAACGTTTACCAGGCCGGGTACTACTAAGTGTCCAGCAGTCTTTTCGGTCCGCCGGCACAAAAAGTCACACTTCCGCTGAAGCTTGGCATGGAACCCATTCCGGCCTACGAAATAAGAAATGACAAATCCACCGCAAGATATGGGCAATTCTGCCATATCCCATAGGATCCATGGTGCTGCTATATATGGTAACATGGATCCCATCAATATACCCCAAATGTTAGCATATATACCAGCACCATGGATCCTATGGGTATGGTCCTTTCTTTTGAAAAATGTCAAGCACCCCCGAAGCGGGTCTTATCATTCTGGGTTTGAAAATGTGAGGTATTACCATCCGATCTGCCCAAATTGAACCTGTCTTTGTCCATGAGCGACAGATTGACACAATTCATAGCCATCCACTCATTATGAGAAATTGATGATCGAACTCTGAAGCATTGGAAGGTGGTTCCAAATTCTTAACAAGACATGGATGTATTTTAAGATTCAAAAACCTATGGCAATCTCAGGTTTTTTTCCTTCAGCGATATCCTTTTTTGTTGGACCCAAAAAACCAGCCCCCTTTTCGTGAATCGAAGGCGCAGCAGCCGCTGATTCTTGTCGCCCTTGGGCGTCGTCAGCTGCTTCTGCGAGCGCGACACCGGTGTCGCGGCCACGCCATCGGCCAGGAAGAAACGGAGCCTATGAGGTGGTCCAGGTCGGGGGTCACGCTGTGGCTAACTGTTGGTTCATAACTCCGAGAAATGTTGAGCTTATGGTATACCATGGTATACCTATATAGCCTATATCCGCCGACCCCGGCAGACGCAAGGGGGAGCGCGCCAGGGAATAAGACAAGCAAAGACAAGCAAGTTTAGGCACACCACCACCAGAAGCAGCAATCTAAATTTCTAGGTTTTCAGAAGCAACGTTAGACAGTTTTTTGGTGGGATTCTCGGACTGCTACTAGCAGCCAACAGCAGCGGAACAGTAGGAACAGCAGGAGCAACAGCAGCTGCAGCAGCCGCAGCAGGAGCTGCAGCAGAAACAGCAGCAGTAGCAGCAGCAGCAGCCGCCAATTTTTGGCAAATATTTTCTGTATCTGTGCAAATTTAGCAGCAGTAGCAGCAACAGCAGCTGCAGCAGCCAATTGTTGGTAAAGATTCAGAAACTTTCTACGGTTCCAGCAGCATCAGTAGCAGTAAGGGCAACCGCTGCCTTGCCGGAAGCCGCGTTTTTGGTCAGCTGCAGCAGCAGCAGCAACCAATTTTTTGCAAAGATCCAGAGCAGAAGGCAATTTTACTGCCGGGAGGTGTTTAGCAGGCTAAGAGCAGCGGCAGCCGTGCAGCAGCTAGCAGCCAGCCAGCAGCAGCCAGCAGCTTTTAACAGCTCTTAACAAGGTAAAAATAAGGTGGAAAAATGATAAAAATGAAATTTTTTTATAGGATTTCAGAAGGGACGTTCCGGCCCCGAAAAACGTAGATTTTGGCATCGGTTCGTCCTTTAGGGCCATGCTGTTTTACTGCCGGGAGGTGTTTCGCAGGCGTTCGCCAGCCACAGCAGTAAGAGCAGCCGCAGCAGTGCAGCAGCTAGCAGCCAGCCAGCAGCAGCCAGCAGCTTTTAACAGCTCTTAACAAGATGGAAATAAGGTGGAAAAATGATATTTTTGTAGGATTTCAGAAGGGACGTTCCGGCCCCGAAAAACGTAGATTTTGGCATCGGTTCGTCCTTTAGGGCCATGCTGTTTTACTGCCGGGAGGTGTTTCGCAGCCGTTCGCCAGCAGCAGCAGTAAGAGAAGCGGCAGCAGTGCAGCAGCCAGTAGCCAGCCAGCAGCTTTTAACAGCTCTTAACAAGATGGAAATAAGGTAGAAAAATGATAAATGATATTTTTGTAGGATTTCAGAAGGGACGTTCCGGCCCCGAAAAACGTAGATTTTGGCATCGGTTCGTCCTTTAGGGCCATGCTGTTTTACTGCCGGGAGGTGTTTCGCAGGCGTTCGCCAGCAGCAGCACTAAGAGCAGCCGCAGCAGTGCAGCAGCTAGCAGCCAGCCAGCTGCAGCCAGCAGCTTTAACAGCTTGTAATCTCCTTCCTGGTAAGTTGGCAATTGAAATTTCACCTGTTGAAATTGAGGATTTCTCATTGCCAAAGCAAATTTTCATAGTTCTTTTGGTTACAGCAGCTAGCAGCCAGCAGCAGCCAGCAGCTTTTAACAGCTCTTAACAAGGTGGAAATAAGGTGGCAAAATGATATTTTTGTAGGATTTCAGAAGGGACGTTTTGGCCCCGAAAAACGTCGATTTTGGCATCGGTTCGTCCTTTAGGGCCATGCTGTTTTACTGCCGGGAGGTGTTTCGCAGGCGTTTGCCAGCAGCAGCAGTAAGAGCAGCCGCAGCAGTGCAGCAGCTAGCAGCCAGCCAGCAGCAGCCAGCAGCTTTTAACAGCTTGTAACAAGATGGAAATAAGGTAGAAAAATGATAAATGATATTTTTGTAGGTTTCAGAAGGGACGTTCCGGCCTCGAAAAACGTAGATTTTGGCATCGGTTCGTCCTTTAGGGCCATGCTGTTTTACTGCCGGGAAGTGTTTCGCAGGCGTCCGCCAGCAGTAGCAGTAAGAGCAGCGGCAGTAGTGCAGCAGCTAGCAGCCAGCAGCCGCCAGCAGCTTTTAACAGCTCTTAACAGGGTGGAAATAATAAGGTGGAAGAAATATATTTTTGTAGGATTTCAGAAGGGACGTTCCGGCCCCGAAAAACGTAGATTTTGGCATTGGTTCGTCCATTAGGGCCATGCTGTTTTACTGCCGGGAGGTGTTTCGCAGGCGTTTGCCAGCAGCAGCAGTCAGAGCAGCCGCAGCAGTGCAGCAGCTAGCAGCAGCCAGCAGCTTTTAACAGCTCTTAACAAGGTGGAAATAAGGTGGAAAACATGATATTTTTGTAGGATTTCAGAAGGGACGTTCCGGCCCCGAAAAACGTAGATTTTGGCATCGGTTCGTCCTTTAGGGTCATGCTGTTTTACTGCTGGGAGGTGTTTCGCAGGCGTTCGCCAGCAGTATAGCAGTAAGAGCAGCGGCAGCCGTGCAGCAGCTAGCAGCCAGCAGCAGCCAGCAGCTTTTAACAGCTCTTAACAAGGTGGAAATAAGGTGGAAAACATGATATTTTTGTAGGATTTCAGACGGGACGTTCCGGCCCCGAAAAACGTAGATTTTGGCATCGGTTCGTCCTTTATAGGGCCATGCTGTTTTACTGCTGGGAGGTGTTTCGCAGGCGTTCGCCAGCCACAGCAGTAAGAGCAGCCGCAGCAGTGCAGCAGCTAGCAGCCAGCCAGCAGCAGCCAGCAGCTTTTAACAGCTTGTAACCAGGTGGAAATAAGGTGGAAAAATGATATTTTTGTAAGATATTTCACAAGGGACGTTCCGGCCCCGAAAAACGTAGATTTTGGCATCGGTTCGTCCTTTAGGGCCATGCTGTTTTACTGCCGGGAGGTGTTTCGCAGGCCTTCGCCAGCAGTAGCAGTATAACAGTAAGAGCAGCGGCACCCGTGCAGCAGCTAGCAGCCAGTCAGCAGCAGCCAGCAACTTTTAACAGCTCTTAACAAGATGGAAATAAGGTGGAAAAATGATATTTTTGTAGGATTTCAGAAGGGACGTTCCGGCCCCGAAAAACGTAGATTTTGGCATCGATTCGTCCTTTAGGGCCATGCTGTTTTACTGCCGGGAGGTGTTTCGCAGGCGTTCGCCAGCAGTAGCAGTATAACAGTAAGAGCAGCGGCAGCCGTGCAGCAGCTAGCAGCCAGTCAGCAGCAGCCAGCAGCTTTTAACAGCTCTTAACAAGATGGAAATAAGGTGGCAAAATGATATTTTTGTAGGATTTCACAAGGGACGTTCCGGCCCCGAAAAACGTAGATTTTGGCATCGGTTCGTCCTTTAGGGCCATGCTGTTTTACTGCCGGGAATTGTTTCGCGGGCGTTCGCCAGCAGCAGCACTAAGAGCAGCCGCAGCAGTGCAGCAGCTAGCAGCCAGCCAGCAGCAGCCAGCAGCTTTTAACAGCTTGTAACAAGGTGGAAATAAGGTGGAAATAAGGTGGAAAAATGATATTTTTGTAGGAGGGACGTTCCGGTCTCGAAAAAAGTAGATTTTGGCATCGGTTCGTCCTTTAGGGCCATGCTGTTTTACTGCCGGGAGGTGTTTCGCAGGCGAGAGCAGCGGCAGCCGTGCAGCAGCTAGCAGCCAGTCAGCAGCAGCCAGCAGCTTTTAACAGCTCTTAACAAGATGGAAATAAGGTGGAAAATGATATTTTTGTAGGATTTCAGAAGGAACGTTCCGGCCCCGAAAAACGTAGATTTTGGCATCGGTTCGTCCTTTAGGGCCATGCTGTTTTACTGCCGGGAGGTGTTTCGCAGGCGTTCGCCAAGCACTAAGAGCAGCCGCAGCAGTGCAGCAGCTAGCAGCCAGCCAGCAGCAGCCAGCAGCTTTTAACAGCTTGTAACAAGGTGGAAATAAGGTGGAAAAATGATATTTTTGTAGGAGGGACGTTCCGGTCTCGAAAAAAGTAGATTTTGGCATCGGTTCGTCCTTTAGGGCCATGCTGTTTTACTGCCGGGAGGTGTTTCGCAGGCGTCCGCCAGCAGTAGCAGTAAGAGCAGCAGCAGCATTGCAGCAGCTAGCAGCCAGCCAGCAGCTTTTAACAGCTTGTAACAAGGTGGAAATAAGGTGGAAAACTGATATATTTTTTTAGGATTTGTAGGATTTCAGTAGAGAGTTTTACTGCCGGGAGGTGTTTAGCAGGCTAAGAGCAGCGGCAGCCGTGCAGCAGCTAGCAGATAGCAGCAGCCAGCAGCTTTTAACAGGTCTTAACAAGGTGGAAATAAGGTGGAAAATTGAACCTGTGCGGCGCAACACTAGCTGTATAATAATAGGGCCAGAAATATCATATATATATATATATCTCTATCTATCTATCTATCTATCTATCTAACTATTATACAGTTACTTAGGTCCATGAACCCATAAAACCATAGGATCAGAATATTAACATGAACACAAATGAAAAACCCATTTACACATGAAAATTCAAACCTATCAAATATATTTCACAACAATATACATAGGAAAAAGGTCGAAAGCCTCAAGCTACGAAACACCGAAGAGTTTTTATGCCAATTTGCTTTGCTTCCTTGCCGATTCTTCCGGGGTCGGCGGCAGGGGCGGCAGCCCTTAAATATCATATCGAACTAGTATGAACTACTTACGTAGTATATTTGGATATGTTTGGTTTATCGGACCAACTAGTAACTGGGGGACACCACCTTGTACACTCACCACGAAAGTGAGAACTTCGTCTAGAAGTAAGAATATGGCATGGATGGTTGAAGGCTTGGCTGCAAACAAGTGGTCAGAAAAAGGCCAAACGGGCCGAAATCTCTCATCTTGCACTTTGGAAAATAAAGCATATTCAAGCCGGGCTTGGGATCTGTCATTTTATATAAAGCCTAGAATTGTTTATCAGAATCGGTGTCAAAGATGTTTAATAGATAGCCAACGAAGCAATCTTCAAAACCACATCCTATCTGCATCAATCTCAGAGTGACGAAAAACATGTTTCTGGCCATCTGTGCTGCTTTTTCTTGCTTCAAATAGAGGCACCTTCCAGCGTGATCACAGAAAAGGCCATGACCGTCATGGCCACCAAAAGCTGCACTGACGCGACACTGACGAAACACCTCACAGCTGCGGGAAATGTTGCCGTTTCTGCTTATGAGGGGGTCGATCCATGAATCTTTGACCAACAAAAAAACTACGGCATGTTGCGCAAGACTGATTCGCAACCAAAATGGTGTTTTTTCCGACCAAAGGTTCTAGTTTTCGGGGGGCAAGGCTGTGGATACCCATCCAACGCACCTGCTGGAAAACCAAGCCCAAGGGATCCACCAAGTATACAAACAGTTGGATGATTTCCCGGAATCAGAGACGAAATGAGTGATATTTATATCTTCACATATCCATCCCTGGTATCCTCTTCAAATATCACTGGTGCAACATGATTCAACTATAAATTGGTGAAGATATATGTGAGTTGATCAACAGTTGATCCCTTAAATTTCTGCACCTACACCTTGGACATCGTTCGAATTCGAGCGCTGCCTCCACCGTCGAGGCAGCGACGGGCAGCGCAGTGTCGTCTGCGGTCCGGAGAAAAATGCCATGGCCATCTGCGCAGCCGGTCCAAATAGCCTCGTGCCGTCAAGTTAGGGATGAATGGGGTATGGTCATCAATCCCATCCTGGGAATGGGAAATACTCGGAATACGTATGAATCTGGTTGGTGGTATACCTACCCCTCGGAAAAATGATGGAGTTCGTCAAATGGGATGATGAAATTCCCAACTGAATGGAACATCAAAAAGAATCCATGGTTCCAGTCACCACCAACCAGTAATATCCAGTAATGGTCACTAGAAGTCCCTGTGAATAGGAGGACGTGACCATTCCATTCCAAAAAAGATGACCAAAAATATGGGAAAACCGGAAATTTGGACCACTAACCTGGCTGCAAAGAGATCCAGTATGGCTATGACAACAGAAAAATTGCTCACGTAACTGCATGAAACTGCAGTTTCGTCCAGTCTTGGGTAAAAGCCAAATGCTGAGAATTTATGGCAATGCAATTCAACCAAAACTCAGTTGCTTTTACTTCACTGGCTCTTGATGGGTTTCAAGAAATAGAAGGATGACCAAATTAAAGCGCTAAACCACGGTTTATGATTTCCTGAAACAGACCATCGGCATCAATTCTCTGACGCTGCTCCAAAGGATATCACATTTGAGTATAGCAGCCCCCAAACAGAAAAGCTGGAAACCTAGGAGATCTGAAGTATCATCTGCAACATTCTGGAAACACTGCTCTATTCTTTTAGATCTTTTTGGGGGTTACTATATGTTACTATATACTATGACAACTCACCACTGGTGAGATTTTTTTCGGTTCTCCCCATGGCCATTTGCGGCTCTAAACAAGTCCCAGTCTTGATCCGCACAATGGAAAATCATGTAATGATTCCCACACCAGATATATGTTGAACCATTTTGGGGCTGGTTTCTATACAATTCCATAACTAGTTGGTGGTTTCAACTCTGAAAAATCTGCTCGTCAGTTGGAATTCATCATCTTAAAAATATCTCGAAGAGCCCATTAGAACCACCGACCAGAGTCTAGATATACGGGGTTTCTCAAAATGGTTGGCCCCCAAGTCACCCTAGGTTTCAATATCATCCATGACTTGGATGGGGGTACCCCCATTCATTTTAATCATTAAACCATCATAGAATTATATGCTAAGGCAATCTAAGGCACCTATCCGATCCTATCTCCAACAGATCTTCCATTTCTTCATGGGCCGGGTTCCAAAGAGCACCCATCTCTCACGGGCCAGTGGCCGTTCCATCGTCCCCCATCGCCATCGACGTGAAATGGGCGTTGTCGGCGTGGAACAACAGCGACGCGACGATCTCCTCGCCTCGCGTCAGCATGGAATGGTGAATTTCGTTACCCTCTATTGAAAATGGCCATAGAAATAGTGGATTTTCCTATTAAAAATGGTGATTTTCAATAGCTATTTTGACATAACCAGAGGGTAGATCTTTCATGATCTTTCACCATTCGAAGTGGAGTTTTTTTGATATTGATGGGTATCGTGGGATAAGCAACTATGGTTTTTCAGCTTCAACATGTGGATGATGATTCACCCAGTTAAGGGGATGGTCGACTAGCAACATGAAACATAGGGATTCATATTCCCATGATCGCGGGAATCCCAAATGATTGTGGGATGATCATACCCTATATACATCTATATATCATGTTTTGACCATGGCGCACATCATCCATGATGGTGGCTGTATCCTAAAATGGTTGCAGCAATATAGCGGGAATCAACCACGCATATGGCAATGCCGGAACAAATAGAAAAGCAACAGGTTAATAGAACGATCATCAGAAATGACTGTTCTATCTTTTTCTGTCATTACTATACAGTAATTGTAATGGTACAAGTACATATGTATATGTATTATATATATATAACATTGATAACTTGGAAATAAAACATAACAAAACAATGTATAGGTGCGTCGTTCACCACCAACATTTCGGGATGACATGTTGATCTGAGATGGTCCTGGCTCAGCTGCAACACAGGCCTTCCAAGTTGGTCAAAATGTGAAGTCCTATGTCAAGTCACTGCTATGGACTTGCATGGCTCTGACAGAAAAGGGGACCAACCATACGACTATATTATGTACAGCGGCATATATCAGTATCAAGGTAAAAGATGGTAAAAGCAGATCCAACAAAACAAACCCTGAACCCAAGCTTTGGCATCCCAAGTCTTGGAAGTGATCTCGCGAATTGTCGTGAAAACCGGCCAGATATGGCCAGATCACCTTCCGCTTCGGCCAACGGCAGCCGGTAGATATTGCCAAAGTTGGTGGCGACCAAGGCTAAGAGCTGAGACAATAGCAGCACTTCGCGAATCCAATCCTTGGTGGAACAGTGACCCAGTTGCCAAGTTGTAGAGTCATTGATGCTAGCCAAAGCTGCGAAAGAAGATTGAGTTACTACTGTAGCAGAGTTTGGAAATCAACCCAGATCCTTTGGGACAGGAAATGCTTTCAATAGGCATAGGCATAGGCTATTGAGGCACTTGGTATTCATGTCTGCAGCTAGAACCTCCAGTTGTTATCGAAGGTGCCATTAGATTTCTGGTGGTGCCGTTCAGAATTTGAAGTTTCTTACCCTGCAGAGCTCTCCGCTTCCCAGGCACATGATGGAAAAAAGCCTTCAAGAGACCAGCCTTCCCATTTCGAGAGAAAGAGCTGGAAAGTTGACATTCCCATATTCAAAATGGAAGCAAAAACCATGTTTAGTTTATCTACTCATTGAACATATTGGTTGCTCCTTGTTTTTGTATTTTTTCTACGGCTTTCAACCACCCCTGGCTCCCTGACTGCCCCAATCTCGGCCAGAGAGCGTTGGGCTCCAGCACATGCCACAGCTTTGTCTCAGATCCTGAGGGTTAAACCCCCCCGGGCCCTCGAAATTATGAAAAATGAAAACATGATAACATGATGTGAAAAACATTTCAAATAGGGATGGACATTTGAAAACACACTTTAGACCAGCTTCATCTTGCCTGTTCTACCACCAAAAAGCAACAAAACATCAGAAAAACATCACAACTTTAATATCCTTGAGCAGTGTCAAAAACCTTACTGTTAATAAGAAATCCAAGCTCATGGATTCTGATAATCGCGACTATAGGGTAGCATAACTCCCCCCCAAATCATCAATAAAATTGAATATTATATAGACTCTATATATATATATATGTATTGTACCATACAGGATGGGGCCCCCGAGATAGCTAAGTTGCCTTGTAAGTGGCTTAACTATGGTTTATGGTAGATATAACTATAGTTGATGGGGGTTATAATGGTTTATACACCAACTTATAATTGGGGGGGCCATCCTGTATATATAAATATAAATATAAATCTAATATGTATAAATAATCATATAAATGATATATATATATATATATGTATTATCCAATTTTCATGATTCAACACCCCCACACCCCCCAAAAAAACAAGGCGAAATCAGTGAAATCCATCATCTATCTCCATTTTTTAAACCTCAACCAAGGCTTAGAAAAAAAGAAAACCACTGCTCAACTTCCACCAAGCATCGCTTCCGTTCCACCTCCACCAGCGGCCACAGCTTCACCCCACCGTCTTCGCCCCCCGACACCACCGGCGGCAGGCGCTCCGCAAGCTTCGGCGCAGTGCCGTGCCAAGTAAAGTCATGGAGAAGTTCCAAGCAGCGAACGCCACGAGTTTGATGACCTGACATTTCTATGGCCATAGGATCCATGTATGGTATATATGCAAACATTTGGGATATATTGGTGGTAAATGTTACATATATAGCATACATGGATCCTATGGGATGGCGGCCAACCCTCCGGTTTGCTCAAAGCAAGGGAAGTTCCCCCGAACTAAATGGAAGTTTAGTTCGCTGGGAATATGATGCATGAATGGACGATTTTCCGGCAAGCCATGTTTGATGACACCAGAGGGTACCTCTTGGGATCATGGACGATGCGCCGGTCCCTGGTTAGTCCTAAGCCACAAAATAGTAGGGTGGTAGAACCCAGACAACTCTTCATATTGCTTCCAAATCTTCCAAAGAAAAACGTATCTTATGTTTGAAACCCAAAAGTTCAATGATATCAATCATCATTTACTGGTTGCCTTTAACATTTTAGTGCTACTCAACATCCAACATCCAACATCATCCGAACCACCTTAAGCCATCCCACAACAGCCGTGGTCACCGGTCCCCATGGTCCCACCTTGTAGTTCTCGCAGCAACGTTCCCTCCATCGAAAAGACACGCACCAGCGAGTCCTCCGACGCGGTAACGATGGTGTCCGACGCCAGCAGGGCGTCCCAGACACGGCAGCCGTGGCCTCTGCAGGTGGCACGGCAGAGCCAAGGACCTCGGCTGCGAAGCACGGGGGCTGGGTCACTGCTCCAGTTGTGGTGAGAAAATGGGGATTCTGTGGGATTCTGTGGGATCAATTGGGATTGTAGGGGATTTAAAGTGGGGTAAGTAGGGGCAATGTCGAGACATAACTGGGGTGATCTAACCCACTTCAATGGGGTGAACCACTAAGTAAGGATTCTGTCGGGAAACCATGATTTAGTTGGTTGTGAAAAACCATCAACTGCCAACATTTCTACTCAGCATTTCAACTCAAGGTTGAATTCATGGAACAAAAAAAATTGAAGAAAACGTCTTTGTAAATTGTCCCTCGAATCCATTGAAATACATTCCGGTAATCCATAGCAATTGGAATTCCACCATCGATTAAAAACATATTAAAACATGTTTTCCCTATATTCAACCTCCATTTTTATATACAATATTCTATTTTTATACAGGATTTTCCAGCTAGTCATCCAAGTGGTCACTTCGCCGGTCGGCACCCGAGCTGCCACTCGTGTCGCTCTCAGTCGCACGCACCCAGAGTTTGACGGTGCGATCGTCCGAGGCAGTGACCAAGGTGGTCCCGTTCAGATGGAAACCTCGGAAAAACCGTGGGAAAAACCGTGGGGAAAACCGTGGGCATCATGGTCACCCGGGATCAATCAACCCCGGTCTAGTAGGGGGGGATCCTCCAGTAAGCCATAGACCTTGAAAATTGACCAGTTTTGCGTGGAAACATGTGGAAACTCATCTTCCGAACCCCTATTTGGCAGGGTCTAAGCTAAGTTACTGGAGGGTGCTATAACTGGTTGGTGCATGTGTGTTTTCCTGAGACTTCAATGATCAAGCAACAACTGGGATATAGCACCTAACTTTCTCCCAGAATTTGAGATCTTTGGAGGGGAAAAAAGGGGAGAGGATTGAGTTGGATGAAGGAAAAATCTAGCTGGGTGGTTGAGCCACCTGTACCAAAAGCATCCAAAAAAAATGTGATAGATATCATGTCTATACATACTGTTGGTAGGTTTTGGCTCATCGCCTGCCAGTGGTTAACCTGCTAGCAACCGAAAGTTGAGTTCACCGTTTCTACTTTGCCATGGAGCATCTGTTTGGTTCCACCCATGGCGACCCGTGGTTTACTGGAGTGATTCAAGTCACCAAGTCATGTGATGGTCTTCAGATGGGATCCAGGGTACCTCATGCCACCCCCGTGATCATTTGTCAACCTGACCTCCCTCTTGGTCTGGTCGCGTTGTATGACCGCAGAACAGGGTAGTATTGGTTACAACTTAGCTGCTTGGAGCTGTGTAAACGCAACCGCTGGACAGGTGATTTCAGCTGCGCCTCTACATGGGCTCAGCCAAACGAACGATCGAGCTGAACTTACGGCAGCGTTGTCAGCACTCCAATGGCAACACAAGTTTCAGGTTGACATGGACATCTGGATAGATGCTCTGCATGTGGCGCAAGGTCTGGATTTTGTGCTTCTGCATGGGGTTGCAGGACATTGGATGAACCAAGATATCTGGATTGAGATAGTCGACATTCTTGCTGGACTTCATGGATTGCAAACGAGACCGCATTGGATTCCCAGTCATCTTGACTCCAATGCTCTTACGTGTCCAGACTGGATCAAGAAATGGAATGACCACGCAGGCACTCTGGCTGGCCAAGTCAATGCGAATCGACCTGAAGTGCTACTGAAGTTGCGCAGTGAAGCACAGTCATATCATCGGCAGGTGGCTGCTCGAATCAAGCAGCTACGAGCTTTTTTCTTTCAAGTGGCTGAAGAACCCAAACCTGCCTTGTTGGCTCTTGTTCCCATTTATGATTTTGATGAAGCGCAGCCATTCTCGCTCACTTCTTTGTACATGTCAGAGCTTTTTGAGTTGCTTTCGGCTCCATCGAGTCAACCCAAGATCAGCCATGAATTCGTTTCCTCTCTGCTCCAATGGCTCAGTGATCATTCTGATGAGGCTACCCCCGTTTATGATTTGAGTGTTGAAGAGTGTGCTTTGCTGTTGGCTTCAGAAAGAGATTTTCCATGTCCTTTCTGGGTTGCCTCAAGTCAATGTTTTGAACTTTTTCACCTTGACAATCGTTTCGAGCGACCCACTTTGGCATATCTTGCGAGTTGTGCGAAGAAGGCTTTTTCTGTTGCTTCCGGTTTGGCGATGATTTCAGTGAGGTTCTTATTGATGGACATGCCAAAGTTCATTTAGGAGTCCACAGACCAACCTGTGGTATTTTTGTCAGACTGCACCCCTCTTGCATTGAACGGGGTTGCAGTGCTTTGCAACGTTTCACCACGGCGAGGGCCCTTCGCAGAAGCTGCGATTGGGCGAGACCGGCGTGACCACAGACCTGGTGCGACGGCACTGCGCTGCTGTGCCTCTGCACCGTGGGAAGCTTCGAGTTATACATACTGTTGGTACAGTTTCGATCTCAATCCAATTTAGTTTCAAGTAGAATCTTAGAATCCTTAGGATTGGAATGCCAGTATGTAAGGATATATAATCAAGAATAAACACTCAATATACTTAATACCGACAAATAGTGGGCAAGTGGCCAACAATAGTTTCACCTATCGAGCCAGTACCGAAACAATTGTGCAGTTTAGACTCAGGAGGTCAAGAATGCTGAATTCATAGCCAGATGGACCGGATATAGTGTGACCGTATGACAGTGGATCAAAGTAACAGGCCAAGTGAAGTATCAAATGACAAAATGGCTTAAAAATGGCATGGGATCAGACAGAATCTGGAAAAGCTGGAATCTTCTGGTTGGTGGTTTCAACCCCTCTGAAAAAAATTAGTCAATGGGACAGATTATCCCATATATTATGGAAAATAAAAAATGTTCCAAACCACCAACCAGTCTTCATTAATTAATGAAATTCATGACAACGATGATTGTTCCTTTCTTCAGTGAGACTATCTATAAACAGCACCATTGCAATGGAACATCTCACTTTTGCACATTTCCTTCGTCAAAATCTATCGCTCTTGGGCAAGTCAAAGGCTTTTCAAGAAAGGAAGCAACCTACCCTACCCTATGCCCTGTTAACCCCTAGGCAACGACAGCACGCAAGGGACGAATATTAAAGATGGCTCCCTGATGGCCCACGAGTTGTGCTTCTGGCTTTGAAGCCTGGCTGTGACGGTGAATCTAGGAAAGGTGAGGATGGTTAGCAGAGAAGATCCAGCTGCAAAACTGTGGAAATCGCCGAAAATGAAGCATGATGAAAATGTTAACGACCAGTCCAACTGGGTGCTGGAGTTTGTGTTCAGACTCTGAAATCACCTTTGTGATTTTTCAATTTTTCACTATGAGCACAGAAAACTGGCATGACAACTTTAAAGGTCGATCATGTTCCCAAAAATGACTCCAACCCATCTCTGCTCGTGCCATGATGTTTTTTTCGGTGAAGATCCTGGTAATCCTGGTACCCCAGACACCCAAAATCGCTGGGATGGCCCTGGTGCCCTGCTCATCATATCTCCAAAGACATGTCCGCAGCTCCGAGAGATGGCTCAGGGATGGCCTTGGCAATCTGCCACAGCACTACGAAGCCATCAAAGGTGCCTGCAGCGCAGAACGCGCTAGCCGCATTCGCGCTGTCCGGACAAACCAGCGAGGCGGAGTAGAGGAACGAGACCTGACAGATGGTATAGATTGGTAGTGAACAGATATACTCTAGTAGTAATATCTGTACTATAGTATATCACAAAACTATACTAGTACTATAGTAATCTATAGTATAAATTGGTTGGGAAATGCTCCATGAGTTGTTGAGGATTTCTGAGGCCTTCTACCAGGTGGAAATATCAGGTGAACAGATATACTATAGTACTCACACTTCAATTTGGATTGGTTCTAATGGTTCTTGACAGTTCAAAAAGTCAGCAGACTTTACTTAATCTGCCTGCAGTATTAGTATATCTACTATAGTATTCCCAAATTATTTACAAAAGATTCCAGGTTGTGAAATAACTTTACTGTTCTATCTTTTGAGGTGGTGCTATACAAAAATACTAAGCCATACTAAGCCAACAATGAGCCATAGCCATGGCCTACCTAATTCCCACAACACTTGGCCGATCAGAAACTTCCAGATTGTGCTGAAAACCATTGATCAATGGACCAATGAGGATGTGGTGCCCCCCAGTTCGGTGTGTTGGTTTATAACCCCCATGAACTAGTTTGATTTATCTATAGTAAACATCCATAAACCTTACTTTGCCTAGTTGTAAACAAACTTAGCCAACATGAGTCAACGAACTGGGGCACCGCATTGTATGCTCCAAAGGTTTAAGTTGAGAAGTTCTTGGACCAAAACTTGGCTCTCAAAGGTCTGGACCTATGTGGCAACCGCACTTTTGGTCGGTTCAATTCTCTCCTTTGGTTGTTCAGATCATGCAAATTCTATGTTTTAAAATGACCAGATCATCTCAAATCCCATTTGAATATATATATATATATAGTATATTATTTAAATCCCAACATTTGATGTTCTTGCTGCAATTCTCAATTTTCCCCTTCTCTCACTTCTACCTTGCCCCCCTTTAAAAACACTCCGACCTTCGACCCGACCTCTGCAGGCCCAGGCCAGCGCGCTTCTTGCACCAGAGCCCCGCGGTTCGAAACGCGCCACTGCTCCAGGAAGTTGCGACCGTACCTGGTCAGGTCCAGGTCTGCGTGCGAGTCTTAAATTGGAGGGTAAATGCCCACTTCTAAACGAAATCCGGCTGCAGAATGTCGATCATTTTCGACTTTCTCTTCCGGGCTAGGGCAAGTTGCCAACAGATACTTCGCCTAGCATTTCAGCCATGTTTATCCTTTTTTCGGGATGATGATGTTTCAATATGTTTCATGTAAACCACGGTGGAAGGAGGCATCCAGAACAATCCTTGTGCGGAAACTTCTCCGTTCCACTCCCGCATTCCGCCGTGATACAGTACAAAAAACATGTGTCACCACAATATGTTAGTTTAAGCTGAGGAAAAATCGTTAAGGTCAGGTTTTATGAAGTTTGATCCTTGAACCCTTGCCAAACTCTGAATATATATCCTGAGAAAGTGCTTCAACTCCTAACTCAATCCCTATTTCTACAACTTGTGACCAAGTGCGCAACTTTACAGCGTATGGTTCCCCATCTCACTAATATTCGCCAAGTTTCTTGGGTAAACCATCATATTTTCAGAAAACTGAAACCTTGGCACATGATAGCTTTACCCAACCAGCTTGGGAAATGGTCGTTGGATCGTTTTGGGATGATTTCCATCATTCGTCGATGCAAAGGACTAAGTCTTAGCTGGTTATCCTCTGGTAATTTGACATAGCTATTGAACATGACCATTTATAGTGGATTTACCCATTAAAAATGGTGACTTTCCATAGTTATGTTAGTTTACCAGAGGGTATCTTGTACTCCCGCACTTTTCGCAGAAGCCGCGTAGCCAATTACCTACTGGATCCTACTGGTACCATTGCCATGTTTTATCATGGTTTATACCATCTGCGTGCCAAGTTGCGCCACTAGCAGCGAGGTGTTTTCCTGAAGCCATGCAACGTCCAATGGCCAGTCTGGTAGACGAGTCACTGACGTGACCTTCCATCGAGATCTTCGCTGAAAATTCATGGGGATCTCTACGAGGATCGTCATCCGCGGTTCGTTTTTGTGGTTGGGTAACTGGGGGTGGATCCGTTAAGTAAGTTATAAATAGTTATAAATATAGTTATAAGTTATAAGCCAGTTGTAAGTTATAAGCCAGTTGTAAATGGATAATCCACCTATAGCTCCAAGTTATAAGCCAGTTGTAAATGGATAATCCACCTAAAGGAGACTGCGCCAACAACAAAAAATCAACAGGGTTATGTACCTTTCCACAGTGCCACCCTCTCCGTTTGGCTAAAGATCCTCCCGGTCCATCTGTCTTCAAAACCACTCCGTCACACTGCGTCAGGACGAGCTGTCTCTGAGGGATCAAAACATCATAGACTCAGCAATGGCTCACTGTGTCACTACCACTTTTTTGGGGTTAGACATCTTATATCAATTTATGAATTCAGGATCAAATACTGCTTGCATTTTTTCGAAAACTCACATAGAGAGTGAAAAGCCATGTGTAAAACATATGCCGAGGTATATGTCCATATATTTCCATATCAAAATTATCAAAATGATGATCTCACCAATCTCACCTTAGATCCCTATTGAACATGATTGAACCCCAAAAAGATGGGTCCACCATGGTGTCTGTAAGCTCCAAAAGCCACACCTCCAACTGCTGCTGTAGGTCATCCCCGAGACTGACCTGCCGATCCAATCCCTTCCCATGCTGGTCTCCTGTCCTTTTCTGCCTGGATGGGATGAATTTTCATCAGGGAAACATACCGGGTACCCGGCCTGGTAAACATACAAAAAACGATGGAAAGATCCACCATGCTATCAATGGGTAAATCGATGTAAATCGGGTAAATCCACGATTTCGACTGGGCCATTTTCAATAGCGCATTGTAACAAATTAGCAGAGGGTATACCCCAAAATGGCCACAGAAACTGGAAAAATGATCAAAACTGCACGGCCAATCGGTCAATCCACCGACACCAAACAATGTTCATGCGTTTTAATATCCCTATGTATTGGTTAAAAAATCTCCACATATTGCATGTATGGATGGTGTGAAAATCACGGATTTTCTTCAACTCCTCTCGTTCCGTTGATGGCCAGCTTATCCTAAATCCCCACAACTCTCGCTGTATTACTGGTTAAATCCACATGTATTCCTGGTGCTAATTTACCATCTGGTTATTTAACATAGCCATGGTATAGATGGCCCATTTATAGATGATTTTCCCATTAACACCTCCATTTATGAGGGATTTTCCATGGCTATGTTAAATAACCAGAGGGTATCATTTTAGGAATTGTCATTGGTAAAATCTCCCGAACATAGAGTTTGACCCTGAGAATCTTGAAAATTTGAGGTAGTTAAAAGGTAGTTTGACACATTTTCCATAGGCCCCCAACTCTCATTTTAGGACATACCCAAAAATCCCATGATATCCCCTTAAGATACCACGATTTATCTTGGTGAAGTCACTAGTAGCCTATAAAATAACTATGGACGATGGCCAATTTATTATATGTTTTAACATACCCTCATCTTCCATTTACCTATCAGATAGGTAACCAACTCCAAAATCGGTCTTTCATCACCGTCCAGTTACCTATCTCAGAGGTTTGCCTGGAAGGTTAGGGATACTCTCCGGTAAATTAACATAGACCCTGGCAAATAGGACTTGGAAGATTAGTTTCCATGAAAAATTGGTTATTTTCAGGGTCCAACTGTTTATTTTACCAGAGGCTAACTATAGCTGATTTATACACTATAGTCACTAATAGCTGATGTTCCCTACCGTGCAATGTTTCTTCGTTGCTTAGTCGGTCGTCACCTGGCAGAGAGCCAGGCCGTAGGGGCCGAAAGCTGCCACCTGCCGTCCTGAGATCTGCAGATTCTGCAGCCCAAGACTTGATGAAAACAACAAAACCTGGTTTCGTCGCAGCTGCCCCAAGACCAATTTATGGGAAAATTCTTGGTGAAAATCCCACAATTAAATATATATATATATATATACGTATATATAGGGAATATATCAAACATGGGATGTCAACCAACAACAATCCAATGATAATATGATCAAAGAGCGTCAAACAGCATTTTTTTCTTGGCATATGTGAAAGCTGGTCCAAAATTTATCAGTTGGATGCTCTGAAAATGAGATATGACAAAACCAACTTGACATGTTATAATTATATAATATTATATCATATTATATAGATGATGAAAAAAGATACATCGAAATATCAGCGCTGGGAAGGCGTACTGCATCACTATTTAATCATCAAATAAATCAAATATACAATGAATGTTGCTTGCCGGTGCAAGAACCGTGATTAACACCTCTGAACCTCCAAATGATCAAATATTCGCTGGGAAACATCATGATCTCCGGATGACTCCTGATATCTCCGAAACAGAAAAAGTCCGAAACTTCACAGGATTTCACCCGGAGGATGCCACCGGCCGCAAGACATGTTGCCAAGGTGCCACTGGCACTGATGTCACTTGCCGGAGCCGCAACAAGTCCGTGCAACTGGCTGCTGTTGGGCAGCAGAAATCGAAGGCGGGCCTTGGAGAAGTGAATTTTCGATTTCCGATTGGTTTTGAGGGAGAAACCGGGTGAAACATCCCGAAACATCCCAAAACATCCCGAAACCCATGGATCCCATGGTTTCTAGCCCCAACTTGAGTGTTTCCTGCAGAAAAACACCACCATCTCCAAGCTCCTGTTGATCTCTGTCCAAAAGGCCGACCGCGCCACACAGGAGCCGTCGCCTGGACGTCATCGGTCGGGATCATCATCCCACAGTTTTGTATCTGCTTGGTGGTATACCAACCCCTCTGAAAAATATGAATTCGTCAGTTTGGATCATGAAATTCCCAACTGAATGGAAAAAAATGTTCCAAACCACCAACCAGTTATTCTTGTTGGACAGATTTAAAGCCACAGTCGTCATACCCCCCCTGTACCTAAAAGCAGCTGGTTTACTGCGAGAGATGACAGTTGAGTTCCTGTCCCGAGTTCAATCCCTTAAAGCAGACTTGACATGACCGAGACCTGCTTCGAGGCTCTATCTTCACCATTCTTCACCCATACCCAGTTGGAGTCAGCATCAGTCAAGTCGAGCAATTTATGAGCAACAATTGCTAGCACCAAACCGCTTTTCAAGCTACTAGGTCAGAACCTCCTATCAATTCTCTTTAATAAACCAGATTTCTCTACAATCATCTTGAGAAGTGGAATTAGTAAACCATACCATCCATCTTTAATAGTAGGGAACCTCCTGTCATGGATTGGGGATTGGGGATGGGGGATATCAACCTCCACCTCGGCTGCAGATCCCTCAGACTTCCCCTTCGCCTGCCACGTCTGTTAACCTGTGCACGGCTTGTGAAAGGCAAACAGCGGAGCCTTTCAGTAACTTTGAGAGTCCCTGATTCCACGCACTGGTCAGGGGCTCGCAGTGGAACTAGAACCGTTCTGGTCAAATCTATGCAGGGTACCCTCTGGTAAACGTTTACAGTTCGCTATTGAACATGGCCCAGTCGAAATAGTTAAAATTTCCCTATTAAAAATGGTGGATCTTTCCATAGTTTTTTTGTTAACGTTTACCAGGGGATATCCACATTGAATCCCCATTATATCCCATCAAATCACCATTATATCCTATCAGATCCCCATTAAATCACCATTAAATCACCATTATTTAACCTCCCGGCAGCTCAATCAATCTACGTTATCACCTGTGGACCATCCCCACACCCCTACCCCTTTCCGGGTCTGAGAGCCCGAGCGCATGCAAATCAGGGCCTGAGCTGCTGCTTTCCCTTACTAAGTGGCATGATCTTTCACCAAACAAAACTGCTTGGTGGTATACCAACCCCTCTGAAACGTATGAATTCGTCAGTTGGGATTCTGAACTTCCCAATATAATATATGGAAAAATAAAAAATGTTCCAAACCACCAACCAGAAAAGGAACATGCTTATGGTTAGGTACCCTAAAGTTGCTGGTTAATAGATAGCTGTTCCCCCAGTCATATGGTAATTTCATTGGTTTTGACCCATCGCATCTTTTGGATGGCTTGGTTTTCACCCTTCTTCTTTCATACAGCCCGGATGGGCAGCCACATTTCCTCCAACGGCTGACAGCATCAGATTCATCCGCAACGACCGGTGAGAGCAGGGAATCTCTCTGGCCATGGTCCAAACAGTGGGTGATTCATAGCCCACATATAACTATAACTCATACATTACCGTATATAACCCATGTATAATCCGTATGCCAAACAATGACCTATATGTACATAACAATTATACACTGTAAATGACTATAACTTTAACTTACAATCCATACTGATACTGTGGATGGTTGCGAAAGGCTGCACCAGTTTGTTCTCCCATTCTCCCATTAGTTTGGTTAAAACAATAATAAACCATCCCCGAGTGTACTATAAATGGGTAGTATGAACTATAAACATCTATAAACCATCAAAAATGGGGTGGTTCATTATTGTGCCAACATGTTTTAACCAATGTTTCATAGGAATCCCAATAGAAATCCCAGGTGCTGATGAATCACGATATTTCGGAGGTTCTTACCTAACTTTTACCTATATTAACCACTGGTTGGTGGTTTCAACCCCTCTGAAAAATATTAGTCAGTTGGGAGGATTATTCCCAATATATGGAAAAACACAAAATGTTCCAAACCACCAACCAGATCATATAGTAAGTTGCTAACATTTGCTAGTTTATCATTTACCTATTCCATCCTATTGCAAGTTGGCAACATTTGGCGCAGGATGTCGCAACAGCTGCAGCCCGGCGGCCCACTCCCAACAGCAACGTCTGGAGTGTGGCGCCGAGCGAAGGATGGGGCACCTGTGGGCCCAATTTTCTCCAAACGCGTAACGGAATAGGCTTGGGAGAAATTTGGGAAGATCAGATTCAAAAGAAATTACGAAATACTATGAAATAAGTAGGTCATAGTCAAAAAAATGGTTTAACAAACAATGGACATATTATATATACTATAATATTGATATATGAAATACATTGAATTGCTATGAAATACCTGGAAATCTGAAGGAAAAGACTCCACAGAAAATTTCTCCAAATTCAGCCGCGCCTCGACACAACAAGCCACCAACACGGGACCTTAGCGGATGGCCAGGGGTTACGCATCAAGGAGGTTTCTCAACATTGGGACCTCAAAGATCCTCAAAGTCTTCAGGTATTTGAGCACCTTGCCTGCCAACAAGAGAATCTTCGGGTGTTTCTCGTAGCAACACCCCCTTTGACGATGTTTGAAGTGGAAACTTGTCTCTTTCTACATCTTCATGGTCGCAATTTTTCGGCTTAAAATGCACCATTTCTAAATCAAAAGCCTCATAAAAAGAACCACCACGTTTCATGCTACCCTCTGGTAAACATACAAAAAGCTATTGAAAATGGCCATAGAAATAGTGGATTTTCCCATGAAAAATTAGGTGATTTTCCATAGCTATGTTAAATTACCAGAGGGTACTACCACTACCACTGTGCGGTTTTCTATCCCTCATTCCACTGGGCTCCAGACCCACATAGTCATGACTTTCAATTGGCGAGGAGCCGGCCATGGCAATCAGCTGCGACTCTTTGATTGCCTGTAGTCTTTTTTTTATGGAACTGTTTCTTACGGAAAAAAATGTAGAAACCAGGATTGAAAGAGTTCTGAACTATTAATTGTCTTTTGATTGAAATGCAATTCAAGTGATGTTTGATGAGAACAAGGGCTCTTCTCTGACCTTGGTTTCCGAAAAAAAAACGAATCCTTCGCTTTGACCATCAGTGGTTGAACAACCAGAGACAGTCGTGATACCTCCAGTGATCCTGTGGGAACCAAGGAATACCCTCTGGTAATCAAACATGACAACTGGAAAGTCATCCCAACTCAAAAAAAACATCGACAAAAACTACTGTTTACCATCGACAAAGGGAAATTCCCCCACACAATGGATGTAGACTTTAGTAGATCTGGTAAACCCCTACAAAGTGGGGCCCCCTAGATAGCTAAGTTGGTTTAAAACTCCAATAACTATGGTAAAAATGGTACTTATAACTATAGTTGCTGGGGCGAATATAAACCAACATTCACATCACTGGGGGGCCCCACATTGTAATAAGCATATAATCCCATTATAACCATCATCCATATATTATAATCAATTATAACCATCATTTATATCCATATAATAACCATATAATCCCATTATATAATATATATATACATATATATATATAAACCTAAGATTCCCCCATTGAGTTTTTTCGTTCGACGATTTTCCGCGAACCAAACCGTTAAACCTCCACGGCTCGAAGGTTCGAGGCAAGTCCCAGCTGGCCATGTTTTTTTTCGCGCCGTCATCGCTCCCACAGATGGCCCCTGGGCTGAAATTCACCGAAGTAGAACTTCTCAGCATTCTCCTGCGATGATATGTCAGTCTTAGTATCATTGTTTTTGCGAAAAAAAAAAGAAAGGTGCTTTGCAAAGACATACGAGTTACTTTGGGGTACTAGGTTGATGGTTGATTTTTTTCTGGCTTTTGTGCCAGCAAGACCGGATTTGAACAAAAGAAATATAGATGATAGAACCAGGAACAAGGACAACAGGTTTGCAACGCTAGGATCTGGAGTTAAGGGAGGCATGAAGCGACGCGACTCAAGCTTGTGGTTCCTTCAAGACACAGGGTATGTGGGGACATAAGGTAAAAACTCAGAGAAAGTAAAAACTCAGAAAAAAAATGAGAGAACGAACACTTTTTATTTTCTGAGTTTTTGTTTTTTCTGTTTTTTTACTATTAGATTATATATCATTATATATATATACACATATCTTTACAACGTTTACAAGACTCAATTGGTCCGTGTTCCAGACAGAAAACATATCAATGAACCTTGGGTGATCTTCAGTCTACTGAGCGACCCGTTTTTTTTCACGCCACATCTCCTGCATGATCACTTCAGCTCTGGCACGGTAACCTAAGCAGAAAACCAGAGGAGGTTTAACCATGTCAAACCCATGGAATCCCCTGATACACCCCAAAATAGCTTGTGAACGGATATTCATTCCCCCAAATGTGGTACCCTCTGGTAAACTGCTACATAACTATGGAAAATCACCATGCTATTGATGGGAAAATCCACTATAGATGGCCATTTTCAATGGCTATGTTAGTTTACCAGAGGGTATATATCTCCATATCATCTGACAACGAACAAGAACACAAACATCACAAACTATGCTACTGAAGTGGCTGTTGGGAGAGGGTTCTTTAGGGAAAAAGGAAAAGTCAATGCTCATTGTCTGGAGTCTAAGGC